AAATATATATATATAGGGACGCCTGGGTGGCTCAGTCGTTAAGCGTCTGCCTTCGGCTCAGGTCATGATCCCAGGGTCCTGGGATCGAGTCCCACATCAGGCTCCCTGCTCAGTGGGGAGCCTGCTTCTCCCTCTCCCTCTGCTGCTCCCCCTGCTTATGCTCTCTCTCTCTGACAAATAAATAAATAAAAATCTTTAAAAAGTATATATATATATATTAGCTTGAATAAATTTAATAATCAGTATGCATGTAGCAAATTCCTGCTCAGTGCCTTTGAATTTTTAATCAATTTTGAGGTATAATTTATACATAATAAAATTGAATTTTAAGTACATATTTGAGTTTTGACAAATGCATTTACAGTTGTGTCACTACTACCACAATCATGAGCTGCTAGAACATTTTCATCACCTCCCTGAATTCCCATGCCCCTGCACAGTGAATCTTTCCCACCATTTGATCATCGTGTATGATCCATTTAATGTATTGTTCAATCTGGTTTGCTATATTTTGTCGAGGATCTTTGCATCTATGTTCTTCAGGGATGTTGACCTGTACTTTTCTTTCCCTGTAGTGTCTGGTTTTGTTATCAGGGTAATGGTGGGCTCATATAATGAATTCTGGCCTTTGGCAACCACTTACTTGCTTTCTGTCACTATAATTTTGCCCTTTTTATGATTTCAAATAAATGGAATCATACTGTATATAGTCTTTTGTATCTGACTCTTTAACTTGAGATAATGCTTTTAAGATTCATCTATGTCTTTGCATGTATCAGTTTATTTCTTTGTTATTGCTGGGTAGTCTTCTGTTGTATGGTTACAATTTGTTTATCCATTCTGCAGATGATCCACATTTGGATTAGTTCTAGGTTTTGATTGTTAGGAAGAATGCTGCTATTAACATTTGAAGACAGGTCTTAACATAGCCATATGTTTTCAGTTTTCTTGGGTAAAGACCTAGGAGTGGGGTTGCTGGGTCATGTGGTTAAGTTTATGTTTTACTTTTACAAGAGCTGGTTTTCCAAAGTGATGGTTCCATTTTTCATTCCCATTGTTTATGTATGAGAGTTCCAGATGCTCCACATCTATGTCAAGACTTGGTATGATCAGTCTCTTTCATTTTGGCCATTCCGGTAGGTATCTATTGGTATCTCAGCGTGGTTTTAATTTGCATTTCCCTGATTCTAAAAGGAAAAACCTACAGTTTTCTACCTGCGTGGGGCAAAACCCAGTCCTTCCTCCTCTGTTTTTCTCCTGGGTGTCTTTTACTACTCACACAGAGTATACCTCTTCTAGTTACCAAATGTGTGGGGCTCCCCACCCCCAATCAATTTTCTGTGACACCAGCTGGGTGTCTTACACTTCAACTGACACTATTTACACTTCAACTAAATTCTGACACTATTTACCCAGAGATAACATCAGATATTACAGGTGAAGGACTTAGTCCCACAGGAATACCCCGCTCCCCCCATCCCTCTGATTTGGACACCAGTCACAAGTCTAGGTTGTCGTCTCTGCTTCTGACCGGTCAGCTATAGACTGGAGATTCTAGTGACCCCTCCTTGGATTCTATTAATTTGCTAGAGTGGCTCACAGAACTCAGGGCAACACTGTTCACCGGTTTATTAAAAGGTAAATACAGATGAACCGCTAGATGAAGAGCTACATAGGGTGAAGTCTGGGAGGGTCCTAAGTGCAGGAGCTTCTGTCCCTATGGAGTTGGGGTGTATCACCCTCCCAGTATGGATGTGTTGGACAACCTGGGAGATCTCTGAACCCCCTACTATTGGGACTTTACAGAGGCTTCCTCATGTAGGCATGATTAATTATTAACTCCATTTCCAGCCCTTCTACCCTCTCTGGAGAACAGGACTGAAAAATCCAGCCTTCTAATCATGGCTTGGTCTTTCTGGTGACCAGCCCCATCCAGAAGCCATCCAGGAGCTCATTCAGAGTCACAACAGAACAAAACATGCTGCTTGTGCTTATCACTTAGGAATTAACAAGGGTTTTAGGAGCCTGGTGTTAATGAGCCCGGTCAAAAACCAAATATTAAAACTAGATGCTCCTAATGTTCTTATCACTTAGGAAATTAGAAGGATTTTAGGAGTCTTGTGCCAGGAACAGAGGGGCAGAAACCAAAATACATATTTTCTGTTATTTCACACTGATGATTAATGATGTTGAGTAGCTGTTCATGGCCTACTGGCCACTTGTGTATCTACTTTGGAGAAATGTCTGTTCAGATCTTTTGCCCGTTTTTTACTGGTTGTCGTCTATTTTTGAGTTATAAGAGTTCTTTCTAATTCCGGACAAGTCCTTTATCACATATGTGTTTTGCATATATTCTGTCCTATCTGGCATGCCTTTTCATTTTCTTGATAGGAATCTTTCACAGAATAAAAGTTTTAATTTTTTTTTTTTTTTTAAGATTTTATTTTATTTGACAGAGAGAGACAGCGAGAGAGGAAACACGAGCACGGGGAGTGGGGAGAGGGAGAAGCAGGCTTCCTGCTGAGGAGGGAGCCTGATGCAGGGCTCCATCCCAGGACTCTGGGATAATGACCTGAGCTGAAGGCAGGCGCTTAACGACTGAGCCACCCAGGCACCCAAAAGTTTTAAATTTTGATAAAGCATAATTTATCATCTTTTTTCTCTTATATGTTGAGTTTTTTTTTATCTTACTCTAAGAAATTTTACCTAATTCAAGGTAAAGATTTCACCTGTCTTTTCTCATAGGAGTTCTATAGTTTTAGCTCTTATATTTAGGTCTGTAGTCCATTTTTTTTTTTTTAAAGATTTTATTTATTTATTTGAGAGAGAGAGAGAATGAGAGACAGAGAGCATGAGAGGGAGGAGGGTCAGAGGGAGAAGCAGACCCCCTGCCGAGCAGGGAGCCCGATGCGGGACTTGATCCCGGGACTCCAGGATCATGACCTGAGCCGAAGGCAGTTGCTTAACCAACTGAGCCACCCAGGCGCCCCAGGTCTGTGGTCCATTTTGAGTTCCTTTTTACTTATATAAGGTAAGGGTTGAGGGTCATTCTTTTTTTTTTTTTTTTTAAGATTTTATTTATTTATTTGAGAGAGAGAATGAGAGAGACAGAGAGCACATGAGAGGGGGAAGGGTCAGAGGGAGAAGCAGGCTCCCTGCCGAGCAGGGAGCCCCATGAGGGACTCGATCCTGGGACTCCAGGATCATGACCTGAGCCGAAGGCAGTCGCTTAACCAACTGAGCCACCCAGGTGCCCGAGGGTCATTCTTTTATATACAGAGAACCAATTGTTCCAGCACTATTTAGTTAAACTGATCTTGCCTCATTGACCACATGTATGTGTATGTATGTGTGTATCAGTCTGTTTCTGGGTCCTCTCTTCTGTTCACTTGATCGATCTTCATGCCAAAAATACACTGTCTTGATTGTTGTAGCTTTAAAGTAACTCTTGAAATCAGTTAAAGTCTTTCAACTTTATTTTCTTCCACAATAGTTTTCATTTCTGTAGGTCCTGTGCATTTCCATGTAAATTTTAAAATCAGTTTGGCACTTTTTTTTTTAAAGATTTTATTTATTCATTTGAGAGAGAGAACACAGAGGGAGAGGAGAAGCAGGCTCCCTGCTGAGCAGGGAGCCCGATGCGGGGCTCGATCCCAGGACCCCGAGATCATGACCTGAGCCAAAGGCAGACACTCAACTGACTGAGCCACCCAGGTACCCCCAGTTTGGCATTTTCAACAAAAAAGCTTGCTGGAATTTTTACTGGGATTGCATTTTTCAATAGATTAATTTGGCAGAAATTGACATCTTAATAATATTGAAAATTTTGGGGCGCCTGGGTGGCTCAGTCGTTAAGCGTCTGCCTTCGGCCCAGGTCATGATCACAGGGTCTTGGGATCGAGCCCCGCATCGGGCTCCTTGCTCCGCAGGAAGCCTGCTTCTCCCTCTCCCACTCCCCCTGCTTGTGTTCCCTCTCTCGCTGTGTCTCTCTCTGTCAAATAAAATCTTAAAAAAAAAAAAAAATAATAATAATAATATTGAAAATTTTTATCTGGGCTTTGATTTTTGGATGTTCATTATATTTTACTAATATCCATGAAGCAAGATTTATTTATTTATTTATTTAGTATTTCCATTAATATTCTGTAGAAACATTGAGAAGAATTTATGTTGTTTCCAACTTCCCCTTATGTGACTGAATAAAGATTTTTACCAGACAGGATAGGACCAGCTCTTAGATTTGGTTCCCTTTTTTGGTGAGCAAAAGAAAAAAGTAAAAGAGGAAGGTAAATAATTTTTGACTAACCTAAGAAGATCTTTATAACTGTTAAACCCGTGCAAACCAGTGACATTATTTATTTCATTTTAAGCCTAGATCTTATCCCCCTCACATAAAATTAATATATCTTCTTAATGATCTTCTAGATCAGTGCTTTTCAAATTATGGTTTCAAAACATTTTTAGTATCATATACAATGTAGTAGCTTTAGAGTTTTTTGAATAGCACCTGGTGCCCTAAACTACTTGATGAGATTTTAATTTGGGGAGATTCATTCCTGGCACAGTATTAATGGTGGTGCAAAATGTAAACTGCTGATGGGAGCAAATGAGAAAATCCTAAATCTGGGGTCTCCTTTCTTAAATTTAGGATAGACAAAAAGCAAAGAGATTAGAAAACAACCCTCTGCTTCTTGGAAAATTTGATACTCTGTGACTTAAAAAGTTTACCTAAGTCTCAGTTTAATTTAATCATTTCCACGGACCAGCCTTGAGTAAAAAAACAGATATTTTGAATATTGGAAGTGGTCTCTGTTTTTAGGATTCTAGATTAAAATAAAAATGAAACAAGTACAATTCTGTTGTTTGAAATTGCTGGAGTATTTTCATAAACAGAGGCATAACCAAAATCATTAGCTGGTACCAGAACCACTGCCTTCTCCTCACTTTAATGGAAATTTTTATCTAGAGAAGCAAATCTCTTACCCTGGGTTTTGTTACAGCTAGTCCTCCTCGATTTGTGACAGTAGAAGAACTTCTAGAGACAGCGAAAGGAGTCACTAACATGGCTCTAGCCCATGAAATTGTAGTAAATGGAGACTTTCGGATTAAACCGGTTGAATTACCAGAAGACAGGTAAGGCGGTTACTGAGTTACCTTGTTTAGTGGAACTCTGCCATTTACCAGTTCTGGAAAGGTCTTCTCCGCTTGATGTCAGTATATTCAAATGTATTTTTTCCTTTTGTATGTTGGTGCTCAGAAAAACCCCACAGTACGTCTATACTTGGAATCACTCTTGGAAATGGATCTCAGGACCACTGATCATAAATAAAAGGTCTAGGAAGTCTCCTGTGGACATCTTTCATGTCAGCTTCTCCTTACTGCATAGGACTTAGCTGTCCTATCTTGTGTTTTCGTTGTATTGTTTCATTCATTTCTTGTAACTATCACATCGTACTATGGTTGTTGGTTTACTATGTTCTTCACCAGAGTGTAAACTCTACAAAAACGAAGATTATGTGTTATTTTCTATGTCCATAGCACCTGGCACATATCCTATTAAATCTAAAACTCTTGATTGTAAAGTGTACCTTTTAAAATGTATTGTCATAAGAAAGAAAAATCATTGCCCGTTACAATTGTAAAAGTGCCGTGATAAACACTGGGAGTCTGTTAGCCAAGGAGGAGGAATGGCTGCTGGGTTGCCAACCTATAGAGTCGCCCACATGAGCCTTCTATGACTTTACGGACATTTCTTCTATGTTCTGCAAAGACAGTACTTTTTCACATTAATCATGAAGAACTACTTTTTTTGCTCTCACAATATACTTTTTTTTTTTTTTAAGATTTTTATTTGTAAGTAGTTTCTACACCCAACGTGGGGCTCAAACTCTTAACCCTGATATCATGCTCTACTGACGAAGCCAGCCAGGCACCCCTAAAGACTGGTTTTAGTGAGCTGTTATATGTTAGTTTTACAGTTTGGTACCTAATTAAGCAAGTGTCTCATAGATCACATAGGAATAGGATATTTTCTGGAAAAAAGTCCTTCAGCCTATATACATGCTGAGTTGTTATCTTAAACTACTTAATCATAAATATCTTAAGAAACTTAATATCTTAAGAAAATTAAGAAAACAGCTCTGAACTTTTCAATATGCTTTTAATCATATGGCACTGTTATATGCTATTAATTGGCCCAATGTCATCTGTCCAATGAGTTGAAAATTATTCTGTCCAATGAGGTATTTATTGAAATAAATCACTAAACTTAAAATAAGGTATATCTGGGAAGTCTTTTCTTCATCCAAATTATTTTTAAAATTTCTCACCCTAAACCTATAGAATTTGTGCTTTTGAGAGTGATTTGAGGCTCAAATATTTTATTTATTTATTTTTCTTTTTTCATTTGTTTCCAGCTTGGAGAAGAGAGTAAAGGAGATTGTACATAAAGCTTTTTGGGATTGCTTGAGCATCCAGCTAAGTGAAGAGCCCCCGACATATGACCATGCCATCAAACTTGTTGGAGAAATCAAAGAGGTGAGGCAGAGAGCAAATTGTGGTGCTTTTCTGGCGTGTTAGGAGTATTTAACCTCTCTGTGTTACTGCACCAGAAGACTAAAGAAATAGAAGGATAAGCTAAAGTACTTGCTGAAATGTGGATTAAGACTATTTTTGGCTCAATGCCCTTTTAAAAATTTGAAACAAGCTATGATAACCTGAAGGTTTTATGTTTGTAAATGAAGGTATATATTTAAAGATTTATTTATTTAGAGAGAGAGAGCACACATGCAGGGTCAGGGTCAGAGGGAGGGAAGAAAGAATCCAGGCAGACTCTGCACTGAGTGTGGAGCCCAACATGGGGCTCAATCTCACGACCCAAATGACCCTGATTCGTGACCTGAGCTGAAACCAGGAGTTGGACACTTAACTGACTGAGCCACCCAGGTGCTCCTGAAGGTTTATATTTTTAGAAACAGAATTATTTAGAGAAAACAAAGGTTATTTTACAATATAGGTGATTTATAAAAATTTTAATAGGTGTGGATGTGTTCAATTTATAATGGACAAAAAGTGATTCAGTCTGTGGGATAGAGAAGGCGTTAAGTAGAAGTTAAGACTCTTTCTGCAAGTGCCTTTAGCGGTCGTATCAAAGAAGAAATGCATCCGTGAAAATTGGCATCTATGGTTGGCTCAGAGGCTCACATTAATTATGTTTTTTCTCACTTTTAACAGTTTATCTTTTATCTGGTTGACTGCTACATAAACCTTAAATGGAAGCTTAAATAGCTACTCTAAATGATTTGCAAACAGGCAGCTGGCTGGCTCAGTCAGTAGAGGGTGCGACTCTTGATCTCAGGGTTATGAGTTCGAGCCCCATGTGGGGCATAGAGCCTACTTTAAAAATAAATAAATGAGGGGCGCCTGGGTGGCTCAGTCATTAAGCGTCTGCCTTCGGCTCAGGTCATGATCCCAGGGTCCTGGGATCGAGCCCCGCATCGGGCTCCCTGCCCCGTGGGAAGCCTGCTTCTCCCCCTCCCCCTCCCCCTGCTTGTGTTCCCGTTCTCGCTGTGTCTCTCTCTGTCAAATAAATAAATAAAATCTTAAAAAAATAAAAAATAAATGATTTGTAAGCATGTTTTCTATAGACTGTTAAGAGATTAAAATATGTATCATAGTAGCAACTGTATTACAGTAACAATGGATAAGCCCTTATTTGGGTAATTATAAATTCCTTTGCATATAATAAAAAATGATGCCTGACTAAGAAACTTTGATTAAACTTGGCTGTGCTCTCTTGTAGACTCTCTTATCTTTCTTGCTGCCTGGTCACACTAGACTGAGAAACCAGATAACAGAAGTCTTGGATCTGGATCTGATAAAGCAAGAAGCAGAGAATGGAGCCTTAGACATTTCCAAGCTGGCAGAATTCATTATTGGCATGATGGGGACCCTGTGTGCACCTGCTCGAGATGAGGAAGTCAGGAAACTAAAGGACATTAAGGAAATAGTGCCCCTTTTCAGGTATGGGAATCATGTTAATCACCTTCAGGGTGCTTAAAATACAGAGCCTTTTCTCTTGTTCTTTTTAGATTTATTCATCTTAGAGTGGGGGGAGGGGGAGAGGGAGAGAGTCTCAAATAGACTCCCTGCTGAGCGTGGACACCAGGCTCAATCAGAGCCTATTTTCAGATTTGGACTTCAAGTGTAGATACTCATAAATTAAAAAAAAAAAAAAATTAAAAAGCAAACATTTTGTAAAATATAGAAAAGTAGAAAGAAGGAAAAACAATCACCCATAATTTTACCATCTAAAGGCAAAATCACTGTTAATCATGTTGATATTTTTTCTCCCTCAACATTTTATTTTGAAAAATTCCAAACTTACAAAAAAGTTGTAAAAAAGAAAACCCAAAAACAAAAAACCCGTGCAGTGAACACTCATGTCCTTTATACAGCTCTCCCAGGTTTTTTGTTTGTTTGTTTTAAAGATTTATTTATTTGAAAGAGAGAAAGGGAGTGTGGTGGAGAGGGAGAGAGCTCAGAGCCCAACGTGGGACTCAGTCTCACAACCCTGAGATCATGACCTGAGCCAAAATCAAGAGTCAGATGTCTAATTGAGCCACCCAGGAGCTTCCAGACATTATGACATTTTAGCCTTAAATGTTTCAGTAGGTGTCATATTAATAATATTAACTTCCTTTGGTCTTTTGGGTGTTTATTTTTAAACCTAATCGTAATCAAATTTATATAGTTTTTTTTTTTAAAGTAGGCTCCACACCTAGCGTGGGGCTTGTACTCATGACCCCAAGATCAAGAGTTGCATGCTGTACAGACTGAGCCAGCCAGGTGCCCTAAATTTATATAATTTTTATGATATTATTGACAAAGGATTGACATGATGCTGCCTGATAATTTGACTTTTGGTTAACTGCTTAGCTCTATTTTTCCTGTAAACAGATAAAGGTGTTAGGCCTCAAAATGCTACCATGCAACATTGCTTATGGGGAAAGTGACCTCGGATTGGTAAATTGCATCTGGACTAAAAGAAATGATAATGAACTATAAATGCTGGATGGGACACCACACGTTGGATGTCCTTTAGGGGAGTAGCTTTTATAACAGGTCATGCCCCTAGTGGAGACACTAGAAGCCGTGCCATAGAATTATTACAAAATATATTAGCACATGAGGCTTGTAAGCCAGGTGGTTCCCATGCATCTCTCTGCTCTTGGCTGTTACTGGAACTTGCTGAAGAGGAATGGTTAGTGCTGCCTTGTTGGCCGGCTGTGTGACTAGATGATGCCAGACCCGGGGCTTACGGTTGTCTCATGAGCCCAAGTGTTCAGTTGCCTCGAAGAGGTCCTCCTGGTGGGCATTGCAGGCCTGACTTTTTCTAGAAACATTATACCCTTAATCATTTCACTTTTTTTTTTTAATTGAAAGTGTCATTGATATAATTGTATATTCATGTGGAGTTGTAAGAAATAATATAGTACACTTTATCCAGTTTCCCCCAAAGCTAACATTTTGCAAACCTGTAGTGTATCGCAACTAGAATATTGACATTGATACAATCCAGTGACCTCACTTAGATTTCCAGTTTTACTTGAATGTGTTTTGTGTGTATGTATGTTAATTTTTATATAATTGTATCCCCTATGTAAGTTTGTGTATTCACCACTACATTCAAGGTCCTGGGCAGTACCAACCCCATAGGATCCCTTTTATGACCAACTTAGATTATTTATTTATTTTTTTTAAAGATTTTATTTATTTATTTGAGAGAGAGAATGAGATAGAGCGAGCATGAGAGGGGGGAGGGTCAGAGGGAGAAGCAGGCTCGCCGCTGAGCTGGGAGCCCGATGCGGGACTCGATCCTAGGACTCCAGGATCATGACCTGAGCCAAAGGCAGTCACTTAACGACTGAGCCACACAGGCACCCCTAAATATAAGTTCTTAAGTAGGATTACTATGTCAGAGGATAGGAACAGTTTTAAGACTCTCATTGCATGTTACCAAGTTGCTTTCCCAAAAGCTCCTTTCATTTTCAGCTTTTTTTTTTTTTTTTTTTAAGATTTTATTTATTTGAGAGCAAGAAAGAGCTGGCACAAGTTGCAGGAGGAGGGACCGAGGTAGAGGGAGAAGCAGGCTCCCCGCTGAGCAGGGAACCCTACTCGGGGCTCAATCCCAGGACACTGGGATCATGACCTGAGCCAAAGGCAGATGCTTAACCGACTGAGCCACCCAGGTGCCTCTTATTTTCCGCTTTCTTGATATCATTATATAAGTATTTGGTATATATAAAAATGTTCTGCATTGTGAAGTTAACCTCCGGGTTTAGAAAGCATTGAAAAGACCTCCCAGGGCGCCTGGGTGGCTCAGTTGGTTAAGCGACTGCCTTCAGCTCAGGTCATGATCCCAGGGTCCTGGGATCGAGTCCCACATCAGGCTCCTGGCTCAGCGGGGAGCCTGCTTCTCCCTCTGACCCTCTCCCCTCTCATGCTGTTTCTCTCCTGCTCACTCTCTAATAAATAAATAAATAAATAATCTTAAAAAAAAAAAAAAAAGAAAAGACCTCCCAAAAAGGGGCACCTGGCTGGTTCAGTCCGTAGAGCGTGTTACTCTTAAGCTTAGGGTCATGAGTTCAAACCCCATGTTGGGTGTGGAGATTACTTAAAAATCTTAAAAAGGGGTGCCTGGGTGGCTCAGTCATTAAGCATCTGCCTTCGGCTCAGGTCATGATCCCAGGGTCTTGGGATCGAGCCCCGCATTGGGCTCCCTGCTCTGCAGGAAGCCTGCTTCTCCCTCTCCCACAACCCCTGCTTGTGTTTCCTCTTTAGCTGTGTCTCTCTCTGTCAAATAAATAAAATCTTAAACAAACAAAAAATCTTAAACAAAAACAAACCTCTTAAAAATGGAGTTCATTCATGCAACAAGCTCTTACTGAGCATCTCTTATGTGCTGGGCATGGTGCTAGATGTTAGAAATAGTAAGAGCTCCTAATAAGGCCAAGTGAGGAGTTCCTAGGAAGTGAGTCCCCTGGGGAGAGAGCTTGCAGCAAACTCAACCTAAACTCAATTCCTACTGGGAGGAGACGGGCCTGGGGAACCCAGCGAAGTGGGAGTACGGACATTGTTGAAGGGGAGATGAAGGAATATGGCCCACGTTGTCAGACCCTCTGATTTCTCAGGAGAGCCTGGAAATGGAGGTCTTTAAAAACACTCTGTGAGCACGAACGTATTCGTGGGCTACTCTAGTCAGCGGCTGTCGGCGGGCAGTTTCCAGCAGTCACTGGTCTGCAGTAGGTGGATGTGGGGAATTGCTAAGGAGCGTTCAGAGGAGAGGCAGAATGTCCCTGGAGAAGTGGGCTGTCCCACGTACTTGGGAGGTGGACAGGATGTCAGCAGAGAGGCCATGAATTGTTCTCAGACTGTGTGTCTTTTCCATAATAAACTTACCCACACGTAAGGTCATTGTATCATACAGCGTTCAATCTGTCCCAGAGGGCGTCAGGGGACTCAGAGGACATTTGACCCTGTTCTTCCTTCCCTGTGGGGCCACACCCAAGCCTGTACCTTGGGTTCTCAGCCACCTCCTGCAAGTAGGTCACTTAGCAGCTCCCAGCCTCTGGAGACGAGGTGATGGTATGTGACAGGCAGGATTGAAGGCATCCTGAGCGTCGGGTCAGGTCTGCCCGTCGGGCACATTCGGAGTGTGAGCTTGCGGTTCTGCCACAAAACTAGAACAGAAAACGGGCCCAAAACTAAGAGCCTGGGGGAAGAGGAGGGGAGAGAGGAGAGTTCTTATTCTTTCTTCCCTAGGAAAGTGAATTAGCCTGTGGGAGAGTGGGGACCGGGTGGTCCGCTCTCTGCCCTTGACCTTGGATCCTGGTTGTCCTTCTCTGTGGCTGCCAGGAGGGCTGACCCCGTGCCAAGGAACGAGTTCTAGCCTAGACAGGCAGTGGGAGAGCTGTGTTTGCTTGGAGGTAGGGTGTGGAGGAGCAGGGACGGAAAGCAGCTTAAAAATTTGCAGTCTTTTTAATCTGTTATTTAAATTTTTGTGTTTTCTAAATTTTTCTTGTTTTTTTTTTTATGGTTATTTGTTACTGGTTTTTTATTAAGTAATCTTTATGCCCAATATGGGACTCAAACTCACAACCCCAGGGTCAAGAGTCCCATGCTCTCCCAGCTGAGCCAGCCAGGCGCCCCTTAAGTCTGTTTTTTTTAATCTACACGCTCTTGATTTTCCAACTTGCTGCCCTTTTTGAGATGAAAAGCCTCTCTCAAATCTGCTCCCCTCTTTCCTCTAAGACCGTGCTTCCTTGACACATGCCCAGTTCTAAATGCTTTTCTCCCCTTCTCTCAGGGCAATTTTTTCCATGTTGGACCTCATGAAAGTAGACATGGCGAACTTTGCCGTCACTAGCATTAGGCCGCATCTCATGCAGCAGTCTGTGGACTACGAAAGGAAGAAGTTTCAACAGCTTTTGGAGAAGCAGCCAAGTACGTCTAATGCTTTCTGGTGTCCTGCACTCTGTTCTTCCATTTCAGGGCTGTAGCAGGTTGCACAATGATACTGTTTGCAAAATAAAACTAAAATTTTGTATGGGAGTGTTCTGATTTCAAGACCGAAAAGCACAAGACTTTGAACTTGACAATTGACAAGCAAGAGAAACAGAAGTAGAATATAAGAAAAATGTAAAAGAACAAAGAAGTCCTAAATTAATAGGTTTTTAATGAGAACACCAGTTTGGGGTAAATTGTATGCTTGGCCTTGATTTTTAAAACACGACCGACTTCTTGGACTATTTAACTCACTTTCCCCTCTCTTGGAGGTACATGAAGAAATTTTACTTTGCCTCCGTTCTATATGCAGAAAATCTTCCTGGATTTTCTTCCTGGATACCCAGAAAAAGTCTCATTTCCATAAGCCTCTCCAACGATAGCAGGAGAACAGAGGACTATAGAATCCAAAACTGTGTTGCATTTCTAGGGTGCTTTTTTTCGGGGTGGGGGTTCTGCATCGACAGCTGATGTTCCTGGTAAATTACAGCCTTCGGATCCAATTTTTTTATTTATTTAAGATTTTATTTGAGAGCAAGAGAGAGCACGAGCGGGGGGTGGAGCAGAGGGAGAGGGAGAAGCAGGCTGTCCGCGGAGCAGGGAGCCCGATGCGGGGCTCGATCCCAGGACCCTGAGATAATGACCTGAGCCGAAGGCAGATGATCAACCAACTGACTCAGCCACCCAGGCGCCCCTGGATGGCTGCGAAATCTTCATTTATTATGAGTTCCATTTAGCCCCTAACTTGGGTGGTTAAAGAAGAAAATGGCAGTCTCTGGCTAGATTGTGTCGCCTGACCAGAATAGTTCATGCAGCGCCCGGAGCAGGTGTCCATCCAGCCGCAGACAGAGAAGGAGGGGTCAGGAAAGAGCAGAGCAGAAGAAACGATACCAAGAGAAGACTGGATGCTGTTCCCAGCACACACACACGGCGTGTGCCCAGGGCGGGTGCATGATTAGTATAATCCTCGCACCATAAGCCTACAAGGGGCGCACTATTTTTTTTTAACCCCTCTTTACAAATGTGGACATCAATTTTGAGAAATTTTTGACCAGAATGATTGACCACCCAGTTCACTTTCTCAGCCAGGGTTGTACTGCCCCTCGGGAGGCCTCCAGGCTGACCATCTTCCAGGCCGAAGAGTCTTAGTGTGAGAGTCGGGTGCTGGCAGCCAAGGGCCCAGTGAAGGAGCCACCGCTGCAGGTGCTGAGCCGGCCAGGCTCCCCCTCCCTCCTCACATGTACAAGCTGCCGGGCTACGGAGTGTGTCGCCTGCAGCAGGCTGCGGCGTTGGCACAGGGGCATCCTGCAGCCGTGTCCTTGGCCGCCCACTTGGCTTGAAGGTGACCTTCCCGGGCAGAGCCACAGCACGTTCCAGGAGCCGTCAGAGGGACTTCCTGTTCCAGACGCAGCAGAAGCAGCGTCCTCGGGGTGGCAGAGCTCCCCTCCCATGAGGCTGAAAGCAACCGAGCTTGATGGGAGACTCAGATCTAGACAAGGAAAAGGCCTCATTTTCAGTGTGGAGGATACTTTACACTGGGAAACTCTCTCCTGTGTCTCCTCCTGTCTCTGGGCAAGAATTTTTGCATCTCACTGAGCTGGAGTGATCAGAGCCCCCAGCCTTGTCTCCTGCCGTGGTCGGGGTGGGAGTGAAGCCCGTGTGTTTGTTGAACATCTGTAGGTGGCGAGGCCCACCATGTGCTTTGTATGCACGATCTTGTCTAGTCCTCGGAACTGCCTACAAGGTGGTATTATCCATCTCTTTATATTAGGAATCTGATCATTCTTAGCTAATAATTTGCAATACTGTGATTTAAACCGAGTTTTATTTGATTCCAAAGTCTGTACTCTATATATACCACATCTTCAGGATGATCTTCCCTAAAGTCATTCCGAGAAGCATCCCTCCTGAGTGTCATAGTAATGTTCGCAGCCTTGTTTTTCACAGATTCCCTGGACTTTGTCACCCAGTGGCTGGAAGAAGCCGCAGATGACCTTATGAATCAGAAGTATAAAAATGCTCTGCCAGCTGGGGGAGGGGCCGCTGGCTCTGGGGACGGTCCCATGCCAAATCCTGTGGCGGTCCAGAATTATGCATACCTGAAGCTTCTGAAATGGGACCACCTCCAGAGACCTTTCCCGGAAGTAGGTGCTCCAGAGCAGTCTAACTGCTCATTTCTTTTTGTGCTGCAGAACTTTTAAAAAATAATAGTTTTGTGATGATACAATTCTCTTACCAGAAAATTTCCCCTTTTAAATTGAACAATTCGGTGGTTTTTAGTTTATTTACAGTTAGAGGACCATTACCACGATTTCATGTCAAAACATTTTCATCACCCAAAAAAGACCCTGTGCCCATTAGCGGTCACTACCCTTTCCCCCCTCCCATACCCCTAGGCAGCCACTAATCTACTTCCTGTCTCTATGATTTGCCTATTCTGGACATTTCGTATAAATGGGATCCTGCAATATTGGCCTTTTGTGTCTGGCTTCTTTGACTAAGCATAACATTCCTCCAGGTTGTAGGATGTACCAGTACTTCATTTTATTTTATTTTTTTAAGATTTTATTCATTTGGGGCGCCTGGGTGGCTCAGTTGGTTAAGCGACTGCCTTCAGCTCAGGTCATGATCCCGGAGTCCTGGGATTGAGTCCCACTTCGGGCTCCCGGCTCAGCGGGGAGCCTGCTTCTCCCTCTGACCCTCTCCCCTCTCATGCTGTTTCTCTGTCTCTCTCTCTTTCTCTCAAATAAATAAATAAAGTCTTTAAAAAAAAAAAATTTTATTCATTTGCCAGCACAAGCAGGGGGAGTGGCAGGGAGAGGGAGAAGCAGACTCCCCGCTGAGCAGGGAGGCCGACTCGGGCTCAATCCCAGGACCCTGAGATCATGACCTGAGCTGAAGGCAGACGCTTAACCGACTGAGCCACCCAGACACCCCAGTACTTCATTTTTTTTTAAGTTGTATTTTTTTTACTCTAGAATATGCATAGTACAAAATTAAATACCAAAAAAAAAAAAAATCTTTAAAAAAATTTTTTTTAAGTAAGTGCTACACCCAGCGTGGGGCTCAAACTCCCAACCCCTGGATCAGGAGTTGCATAGTCCACCGACTGAGCCAGCCAGGTGCCCCCAAATTCACTATCTTTATGTGTGCAGTTCAGGGCATTACGAACTTTCTCATGGTTGGGCCACCATCACCACCATCCTTCTCCAGAACTTTTCCATCTTCACAAATTCAAACTCTTAAAATACCTTTAAACACAACTCATGCCTCCCTCCCCCTTGCCCCTGGCAACCACCATTCTCCTTTGTGTCTTCTGGATCTGATGACTCTAGGTGCGTCATCTGAATAGAATCTTAACAGTATTTGTCCTTTTGTGTCTGGTTTATTTCACTCAGCGGATTGTCTTCAAGGTTCATCGTGTCATGGTGTGTGTCAGCGTTTTCTTTTTACGCTGAACGATATTCCAGTGGTTGTCCCACATTTTGTTGAGTCGTTCATCAGTTGATAGACATTTGGGTTGCTTCCACTTTTTGGCTATTGTGAATTGTGCCGCTCTGAACGTTTGTGTACAGGTTTTGGTGGGGGCACATGTTTGCAGTTCTCTTGGGTGAATACCTAGGCTGAGAATTGCTGGGTCACACGGTGACTCGGAGTTTCTCTTGGAGGAACTGCCAGGCTGTTTTCCTGAGCAGCCACCTCCCTTTCCCGTCCCCCAGCAGCGTGTGGGCCTCCCGGTGTGTACTGCTGAGCCGCTCTCCTGTTTTTACACAGCCTGCTTACAGCCGTAACAGTGATGTTGCTTTTCAGTTTTATCTAAAAAATACTGCTTCCCATTCCATGTGGAGCATAAAAAAATGAATAAAAGTTTTTCACAATAAGTACTTCTAACTGCAGTGGTCCTTTAAGAAGACCGACAAGGATTTCCCCCATTTTGTCTGTAACCTGCTGGTTTGGTGTGTAGACTGCCTCATTTTTGAGGGCACTCAGGCTTTTTCTCTCTAGCCTCAGAACCTGCTACTTCTCTAAATCTTTCTCCTCTAAGTTCCTGTTTTTCCTTTCAAGACGCTGTAAGCCTAAGGCTTCATTCACTCTTGCCTCTGAGTTCCCTGTTTCGCACCAAAGGAGGCTCTAAATAAAGAGGGTGAGCAGGTGGGGGAGGCTCTGTTCTGAATAGTGGCACGTTCTCTCCCGGAGGGCAGTTTGCAGCCTGACATTTCTTTTAAAAATACCGCTGTGGGGAAGATGGTGTTTTTCATTGGACACCGATGTCTACCCTGAGGATTGATTGTTGGAAATCTTTTGTATCCTAAACCCAAGTCCTGTACAAAGCTGGGATGCTGCTGTGTCACCGAGTGAAGTCAAGGAAGAGGCTGGGTCTGTGGAAGCATTTCTGTTTAACAACAGAGGGTCCTGAATCTTCAAAGATAGTTTTCACTGCTTGAGAAGAATTCTAGGCTAAGACCCTAAATTGTTAAATGTCTTGATTTGGTGTGTCAGTCTCTTATAGCAAGACTAGTCCTTAACATTTATTTGGTTCACCTGTAAAAACTCCCATCGGAAGGTGTATTCATCAGCCCTTCCAGTGTTCTTTCCTGCATCCCACGCAGGGCACTTTGGCCTGGTAGGATGCATGGGGGAATGCAGTCAGGGAAATCCACTCACTGCTTTCAGGGTGGCTTTGGATTGTTTTCTGTCATCCCTCTTTTCTACTTACTGTTTCTTTTTCATTTTCTTTATTCACTCACCGATTCTTGAGGGCCTCCTTTGTGCTAGTGAGGGGGACACCAAGGTGAATCACGTAGGCTCTCCCTTCAAGCAGCTTCTCCTCTCCTTCCCTCTGGGGGCTCTGGCTGGAGAGCCTGGCTGCCCGGTTTGCTCTGGACTGGGGGCGGGGGGGTGCTGCTATTCGCAGGACTTGGGAGTTCCAGTTTTAAAGCGAGGACAGCCCTGGACAAACTGGGATGAGTTGGTCACTCTAGCTCCATATCTCATTACTCTTTTCCTGTCTCATGACAGAACTCCCAGTTACTGAGTGTTGGCTCTGCCAGCCCACTTTAGATCCATGGCCAGCCCCGTGAAGCAGGAATCCGTTTTGCACAGGGCTCCGAGGGTTGGAGAACTTGGTGTGAGGTTATACTGCGTTTCCGTGGCCATCTGCCTCCTGTTCTTAGTGAGAGTGCTCTCTGGCAGTCTTCCTAAGGAGCAAGGGGCTCTGAGGGGGAAGGATGATTCACGCATGACTCCCTCAGCTCTGAAATGACTAGAAAATTCTGAGGGCACCTGTGGAGGCCTGTGTGGGGCTATAGCCCCACCGCCCCCTGCTGGCCAGCCTGCATCTCCCGCTCAGGGATGATTTCTGTCGTCTCCATTACAGACCGTTTTGATGGACCAGGCTCGCTTCCAAGAGCTCCAGCTCCAGCTGGAGCAGCTCACCATTCTGGGAGCCGTGTTGCTGGTCACGTTCAGCATGGCAGCCCCAGGAATTGCCAGCCAGGCCGACTTTGCTGAGAAACTCAAGATGATCGTGAAGGTTCTGCTGACAGATGCGCATCTGCCGTAAGTGGCCCCTGTGGGACAGCTGGGAGGCAGCGGGTGGCCGAGAGTGGCTGCAGGGGGGTCTCCCGGTGTGGGGACGCCCCGGGGCCGCTCTCTAGGAACTGAGAGGAAACCTTGCTCCCTGGTTTTTTCAGCCCAGCAGAACTGATCTGGGTTCATACAAACGACGTTAGAGTCAATTCTAGGGTCCACAAGGCTCTAGGAGAGTGGCTTTCACATGTTTAGGCCCAGGACCCACAGTAAGAAATTCATTTTCCGCTGTGACCTAGTACACACTTCAAGCACACATGTAACTGAAATAAAAACTTCACAAAGTGAAATTTAATCTGAACCATGCTTAACACAAATTCTTATAACATTAAAAAAAAATAAAAAAATACTGGTTGCTGCCCACTGAAATGCTCTCACAAGCCCCTAACAGTTTGGGCGGCACGGCCCTGGGAAAAGTCCTCTAAGAAGCGGGCGGCGTCCCCCCCGAGTCGCTGGGCCGTGAGCAGTTCTGTGTCCTTGCCTGCTCCTCGCGGCCCCCAGTGCTGCGTGTAAATGCCTCAGTTCATCGGGCAGCACGAGGCCACCCCTGTGGAGACGTCCGCTCGGGTCCGTGTGGTTCCCAGCCTACAGGATATTCTCTACTGGTCAGAAGTAAACACGGCCTCTGACAGGGCCCAGTTCAGAGGATTCCTGGAGGAGAATGTCCCCAGACTTTCTCATCCTTACGAGACGGGGGCATTTTCCTGCTGAGTTTGCACAAAGCGTGCCCGTGCTCGGTGTGGTGAGGGGTGTGTGCACATGCTGGGTTAGGCCGGGAGGGGTTTGCTGAGCTGAGGCCCTGGCACGGGGGCAGCCCTGGGCTGTCACCGAGGTCCTCCCGCCCCCCGGCAGACCGGTTGTCTACTGCTTAAAGCTACCGGTGAGGGGCCCTGTCTGGCACTTCTTCAGGGGGGGTCCCGCCCTGCGCTGCAGTATCCACCCTGGCTCTCAGGTTGGCACAGAGTTGGTACTAGCAGGGAGTCCCAGGGCTTGCACGTTTGCTCCCACAACTCCTGCTGTACCAAGGGTTTAGGCCCAGAACAAAGGCCTTACAGGAAACCCACCAGCAGGAGGGCTCCCCACTGATACTCCAGGAGAGCCTGAGCGCTCTGAAAAATCAAGGTGCTCATTTTTTTTAACTTCAGGATTTCAATGTTACTTTTTTAAAGTAGTTAATATGTTCCCATGTTTCACAAATCGAAAGGGACCGAAGGGTATCCAATGAAAAGTTTCTCTCCCACTCCTGTCCCACAGCTCCCTGATTCTGGATTCTTGCGTATTACTCAGTGGCATTCAAGATTTCAGGCTTATTTCAGCACACAGATGCTAGCAAGAACTTGGGTTTGGGGTTGTTAGCGCTGGTATAGTCTCAGCCCTTCCCTTCCCACTGTCCTTTCTAGGAGAGAGAGAGAGAGAGAGAGAGAGAGTCTCCTGAGTCAGGTGTCCACAGCCTGGAAGGTTGGGGGCAGGGAAGAGAGTCCTAGACTTTCTCTTTGAACATGTCAGTCTATGAACTGACTCAGATTGTGACTCTTATCAGGGCTTGGGCTCTTAACTTGGCTTGAGCTGGGTGGATGTGCACTTTGCTTATGGGCTCTTTCCTCCCTGCCTTCTCCTTTCCCTTCTGTACTCTAGCTCCTTCCATCTGAAGGACGCCCTGACTACCATTGGGGAGAAAGTCTGCCTGGAGGTGAGCAGCTGCCTTGCCCTGTGTGGGCTCACCCCCTTCACCACGGAAAAGGAGGCCGTGCTCAAGGGCCAGATCCAGGCTGTAGCCAGTCCCGACGACCCCATCCGCAGGATCATGGGTACGTTTTGGGGGGAAAGATGGGCAGCAGGGATGTGCCCTTGGAGGGGCTGGCAGACCAGCCCCTCTGAAGAAATCTAGAAGGCTTTGATAGGTTATGAGTGCTGATGAGTGAGGAGAGAGTGAGTAATCACCACCAATGAGCATGACCCAAAGGTCTGGACAAGTGACCAGGCAGCTGTCATTGTTCTGAGGGCTCTGACTTTGGAATCACAGGCTTTGTTCAGAACCCTGCTCCAGCACTGTGAGGTAATAGAAAATATAAGTATTGGTCTCTGCCCCTGTTCCCAGCACAGGGCTCCTAAAATTCTTGTAATTTCCTAAGTGATAAGAGCACTAAGCGCATCTTTTGTTCTAAGATTGGTCTTTGACCTGGATCCTGACACAGAGCTCTTAAATCTTTTGGAATTTCCTGGGTGATAGGAGTGTCTTTTGTTCTAATGAGGCAACTCTGGGTGGGCTCTGAAAGACCAGGCCATGATTAGAAGGCTGGAATTTTCAGCCCCGCCCCCCCCGCCCCCATTCTCCAAGAAAGGAGAGAGGGGCTGGAAATGCCTATGATGAAGCCGCCATAAATATTCCAGAAGTACAGGGTTCCGGGAGCGTCTGGGTTATTCATGTAATGGGAGGGTGATGGACCCCAACTCCACCAAAGCTCCTGCCCTCAGGACTCTCCCAGACCTCACCCTATGTGTCTTTTGTTCTGGTTTTCATCTGTATCCAAATCCTTTATTATGTAATAAGCTAGTAAACATACGTGTTTCCCTGAGTTCTGTGAGCTGTTCTAGCCAATAATCAAAATCCAGGGGCGAGGAGGTCATGGGACCCTCCAGTTTGTAGCCAAATCAGACGGAAGCTGTGGGCGTCCTGGGGACCTACTACTTGCAGTTGGCTTCTGAAATGGGGGTAGGGGGGCAGCCTCGTGGGACTGAGCCCCTGGCCTGTGGGATGTGAAACTCCCTCCAGGTAGTGTCAGAATGGAGTACAATAGTAGGACACCCTGCTGGTGTTGCAGAGAATCGCTTGGTGTGGGAAGCCCCTGCCCTCGCCCACATCTGTTACAGGCGTGTTTGGGATGTGTGGTGAGAATGAAGGAGGATCCGGGGTTTTCTTCACAAGCACCTGCTGTGTGGCTTGAGCAGGTGACCGGATGCTCCAGGTTCCTCATTTCTAAAAGGGATAATACCGGGGCGCCTGGGTGGCTCAGTCGTTAAGCGTCTGCTTTCAGCTCAGGTCATGATCCCAGGGTCCTGGGATCAAGCCCCGCATCAGGCTCCCTGCTCCGCGGGAAGCCTGCTTCTCCCTCTCCCATTCCCCCTGCTTGTGTTCCCTCTCTCACTATGTCTCTCCCTGTCAAATAAATAAATGAAATCTTTAAAAAAAATAATAAAAGGGATAATACTGACAACCCTATACAGTTGCTGGGAAGACCACAGGGCATGAGGTCCATAAAGTGCTTATCAGAATATCCGTAGCCCATTGCAAGTACTTGCTAGAGAGGAGCTATTATTAAAAAGATTACTGTGTTAGCTATTACTCTTCATCATCCCAGCCATAGCACTGTGGAACATTCTGTTTGCTGTTGCTGGTTGATCGAGGAATACAGTGGTCATCTAATTTGGGGGCACTTGGCTGGCTCAGTCAGAGCACGTGACTCTCGATCTCGGGGTTGTAAGTTCAAGCCCCACGTTGGGTATAGAGATTACTTAAAAATAAAATCTTTAAAAAATTTTTTTCATCTAGGGGCTCCTGGGTGGCTCAGTTGGTTAAGCATCCGACTGTTGATTTCGGCTCAGGCCATGATCTGAAGGTTGTGGGATCGAGCCCGGAGGTGGGCCCCACACTTAGCAGGGAGTCTGCTTGAGATTCTGTCTCTCCTCTCCCTCTGCATCTCCCCCGCAACTTGGACTTGTTCGCTCACTCGCTCTCTCAAATAAATCTTTAGAACATTTTTTCATCTAATTTTTAAAACTCCTCTATTTCTCTTTAGTGTATTTAATTTTGAAGTCATTCTTTAGCTTCTTTATGAAACTAAATAGGTGTTCAACATAGAAATAATGAATAGTTAGCAGGCTTCAAGCAAAAGCTGAATGACCTGTGGTTATCAGATTTCCGGTTGGAGTAGAGGCTGAACCAGTGACGTGAGCCGGCTTCTAACACTATGACTTCCTTTTTATCCTTAAGTAATATTTGATGGAAAAAGTTACAGGGATTGACAGTTTTTCAAAATGACTTCATCCCAGCCCTGCATTGGTCACGATGTTGTCTGTGGGTCACTCAGGAGGAGCCTCTTGCAGATAGAAGGACCATCAAGATTAATATTAGTGACTTTGGTAGAGATGCAGGAACGTGCCGTAAATAGACTGCCGGCTAACAAGCTGCTCCACGTCCTGCCATGTTGGGTGCTGAGTAACAGGTGGTCATAGACCTGGAGCTAAAAACCCAGCCCTGGGGTAGGAATGATCCAAGGATCTCCAGTTCCGCGTGGGGCTTCCAACTCTGAGAACCTTAGAAAACCAAACTAACTTGGCAACAGGGGTAATGGGACCCATCTGGTCAGCAGTTGCTTTGTCACTGTGTATTGGGGTCTGAAGGGCGTAGGTCATTTGCACCCGAGAGGGTCCCACAGGCGTGCAGTTTGAAAGAACTCGGTGAATATAAATGCCCCTATTGCTTTTGTTAAGAAAATCTGTAAGGGTTGATGAGGACCATGCAAAAGCGTCCTAGAGAGGAATGGCTTAAAAAGCAGCGCAACCTGAATTATTCCTCAATAGTACAAGTTGGCAGGTGGCCACACCTCCGTGGCGGCGTTAAAGAAGGATGTTCACGCTGCTTACATGTGGGCTTGGTGGGAAAAGCTCACAGACTCACAATGCTAGAATCTTCTTTTTCCATTTCTGAACTTATAATTCCTGCTTTACCCCCCATCTCCCCTCCCCCCCACCCCGGGCCCCGTTTTTTATGTGCTCTTCAGCAATGGTTCATGGTGGTCTCAGTGTGTCTTTCTCCTCAGAGCAGGACCTGTCAACACTTCAGTCTCCTTGTATTGATTCACACATTTATTCTTCCTTTCCAAATGTATTTTGAGCTTCTCCTGGGGCCAGGTCTCCTGCCAGGCCATGGGCTGAGTGCTGGGGCGGGGGGGATGACAAACAGGATAAGCGTGCTTCTACCCTCGTGAAACTAACCATCTAGAGCTGGAGAGGAAGTGTTCTAAATGGACTGAATGTTCGAAGTGCACAGTGCTGTGGGTACCTGGTCTAGGGGGTGGGCAGGGAGGACTTCCCGGGAAAAAGGATGTTTAAGCTAAAAACTGAAGCATAATCAGAAGTTTGCAGATTCACCCTGAACAAGAAACAACCAACTGCTTTCTTTCCTATCACAGATTCCCGAATCCTGATCTTCTTAGAAAGCTACCTTGCCTCGGGTCATCAGAAGCCATTGCTCACGGTCCCTGGGGGATTGGGTCCAGTTCAGAAAGAGCTGGAAGAAGTTGCTATTAAATTTGTCCGCCTGGTCAACTATAACAAGATGGTCTTCAGTCCCTACTACGATGCCATCCTCAGTAAGATCCTTGTCCGATCCTAACACGTGTGCGCTCTAGGCCGCAGTAGTATTAGCTTCTTGGTACAGAATACCTATTCTCAACTCTAGTGTTGCTTTGGAAAATGGCTATTTAGTACATTTCTATATAACAGCCCTGATTCCAAAAGGAAGAACACTGTGTATCACTGTTGAAAAGAGTTGTTGAAAAAGGCACTGAATTCTAGTTTGAAGGTTTGTATTTATGAGTGCAAGTTTACAAATCAAGAAGCTTCTTGTTCTCTTAAGTTTGAGGTAGCACTCCGCTTTTAAACGGTAGACTGCCGTGTGTCTCCACTGACTCTGTCCTGATTCGAGCTGCCTTGTCTTCCCCAGGGGGCTGGGGCCTCTTTTCCGCCATCTGGGTAGTTTTCCTTTCAGACACCCGAGAGGATCTGCCAGCCACCCAAGAAGAAGTGACCAAGCCATGTCCGTGTTGAGACTCATGCCCCTCCCTGGCACCGACCCTCACTCTTCCCTCCAGCTATTTTGTGTTAGAAGGGCTATCCCTAGTCTTACTGCCTGCCCCCAACCCCAGTGATGGCGTTCTCCCTGCCTGGCCTAGCCAGAGCCCCTGAGCGCCAGAGCCCTTTTGTTCTAGAGGGGAGTTAATTGATTTTAAAAAGCTTATTCTTTTATACAGAATCATTCCTGAGTCTGGATGATAGCAGTTATGACTTCTGGGATCTAGAGAAAGGAAATTCTTTGACTTTTAAGCTTTGAAAGTTAAGGAGGAAATATTTTTTTAAACAGTATATACGTTGGTGTAATTTAAAAGACAGATGTCTGGAGTTTTTACTGAAAAATTCACTGATACAATGCACAGATGTATTGATTGGATTTGAATTTCAGAAATAGATTTAAGTGTTTTCAGATAAAATAGTGTATAGTGTAAGCTCACTTATTTCTTGGATAAGGAAGTCATAGAAAATCCCTGGTTTTAGAGCAGTATTTTTTTGAGGAACTTAGTGACCAGAATTCCTGACATATCCTGTGGCTGAAAGGGTAGCTGGGGTCTCACAGATGACCTACTCTGTTAAAAAAAAAAAAAGTAAAGGCCTGCGTGCGTATGTGCGTGCGTGTTTCAGACAGGGACATTATATTAGAAGCACAGCCATGAAGTTGGGAGTGAACTCCAAGTGCGGGAACAGCACAAGGCAAAATAATGCAAGGAATCCCTTAAAGCGGTGAGGGCTATGGTGGGGCGGGAGGCAGGCGTGATGGCAGGCGTGGTGGCAGCCTACCGGAGGAACGTTCGCTCTGTAGACTATCGAGTCGTACCAAGCTTCAGGAGAGGGTACACTTATGTTGGGGGGACTGTGATTTCTCCAAATACATGCTACAAACTGTGTTCTAATGGTGTTTTCTACTTGCAGTCAGAAATGTATGCTGCATTATGTGGTCTGAAGTCCTATTATTAAACTTTATACTCAAGGACAGATCTTCCCTGGTTTCATTGGAAGGGAATAAAAGTTCAATAAGTAGAACTTTTAAAGGACAAAATCACATCTTTTATAGTGTCTTCAAATGAGGTCACTTCTGGAATTGTTTCTGGAGGTAAGGTTCTCTGTGGCAGCTGTGCTTGTTGGTCATGTGGTACCCCTCTCCCCCCAGGCTGAGAAGCCCGAGCACTCTAAGTGAGCACCATGCCCAACACGGGCCTTGAACTCACAACCCCAGGATCGGGAGTCACATGCTCTCTGACCCAGCCTCCAGCCACCTGCCCCCGCCCCCCCAAGCACTCTTTTGCCTGCCTCAGCCTCCGAGAGTGTTTGGGGTTTAGTGCCGCCTCCGCCAAGGATGAAGGGGAAGAGCTTTACCCCCTAATACACAGGGTGGATCAGCACTTCCTGTAGTCACTCTTTCTAAATTTTAATTCTTTTTTTTGTTTTCTTTTCTAAGGGTTAGCTTTTTACAAGATTTGACTTTTTTTTTTTTTTTTTGCCCCTCATGGGGTCCTAAATTCAGAGTTAAGTTTGTACCATCTGAAATCTTGATGCATATTTTACAGGGACTCACACAGACTCTCATGCCACCACCCCCCCCGCCACCGTGTCCACTGGTGGAGTTCTCCAAGTGGCAAAGCCAAGAATGAAGGAGGCAAAGTTCAGAATCACAATATTCATATTGAATTGTGTTGTTGTTCTTTGAAGATAAGTGAGCTACTTTCTTCTTGGAATCTCATAGGATTATCACTAAAGGCCAGGAAAATTCATTTAGTCACTCAGGAAATGTTTGCTGAGCATCTCCTTGTAATCTCCCCCCTTCCCCAACCCGCAGTTCTCCCTCCAAGATATGTATCCTTTGGAGCAGAAATTATCCTTCAGAATTGACCTGGTTCTATGTAATGCATTCTGATTGGATTTGACATGATTTTCTATCTAACGGGTTTGTGGAAACAAGCGTCTTTTAGGGGAGTGCTAGGTTTATTTGGTGGTAGTACTTTACTGTGGATAGAACTGAGCGCCTTGAGAGTTGGGTCCATCATAGCAGGTGTGTTCGATTTATCTGATGGCCTCACGAATGAATGAATGTCCAGAGCAGGAACTGCTACTTTGTCAGCTCTCGGTTGGGTGGATGGATTCTCAGCCTAGAAGTTTTTTGAAAATCTCATTACGTTTAAAGCAAGCTGTACCATGCGATTGTTTATGTAACCATATAACCCGACTATAAATATACTTCAGGTAAGGACGGCTTACCGATTAAATGCAGTAGGCAGGTGCCTCAGAGTTTTTTTCTCTGAAGAAAAGTTATGAGTAAGTCTGACACAGCAGGGATATAATGTGCACACGCTGGCTGACGATTAATGGGTTATTTAGCAGTTCTGTTTTTGTGGAGGTGCTTCTGTTCATCTCTCTAAAACCCTAAGATTCCTGGGAATAAAGAGGTGTTGCCACACCACCATTCCTGCTGAGTTGCAAAGGGAATGAATAGGTGTTTGCTGTTTGATTTCCAGTGACTTTTGGCATGCTCTGGTTTCTGTGTAGAATGTTTGTATTAATTTTCATTTTGAGGCCGGGTGGTAGAGTGGAAAGACTGGGAGCTGTCAGGAAACCAGAGTTCTGACCCCATTTCTGTTACGTACTAACTGGGGCAAATCAGGACCTATTTCCAGCACATGTAACATGAAAGGACTAGACTGGATCTTTGAACTGCTTTCCAATCCTGACATTCTGTGATGTGTCTCATTTGAGTAACGTAAGTACACTGCAGTAGGATCGTGCACAGAGCTCCTGATTTAGAGGGCGGTCTGGGTTGGAGTCCTTCCTCTCTTGCCTTCTTACTGGCTGTGTGATATTGGGCCAGTCATTGTCCCTTGGGCCCCAGCATTTTCATCTGTAAAACGGGGAACGACTCATTGACACTTGCTGTGAGGATTACATTTGATAATGGATATTAGAATGCTTTGTACATGGGAAAGGACTATAAATAGGAGGAGAGCATATAACCGTCTCCCCGTAGGTGTACCTGTGTCTGTGCCCAGCCTCCCTTCAGTCAGCGTATTCTACGGGCTGGACGGAAGGGTTTCCTTCTGTCCTGGGACTCGTACTTTCTTCTGTCATCTCTTCTGTACTAAAGCTGCAATCTTCCCTTTGCTCCTCTCCCTGCTTCCACCGCCACCCCACTGATTCCTCCCCACCTCACCTCTGTATTATTTGAACCAAATGAATTCATGAGTGAACAAATGAAGGACGGCAGATGATGGGCTATGAAACTCCTATTTAAGGGCACTTATCTCATTGAAAACATAATCTAAATAAAGAACCACAATGATGTTTGCAATTGTGTCTTTATATTGGATTTTGTATTCTTTTTTTTTTTAAAGATTTTATTTATTTATTTGAGAGAGAGAGAATGAGAGACAGAGAGAGCACGAGAGGGAAGAGGGCAGAGGGAGAAGCAGACCCCCCCCCCCTGCTGAGCAGGGAGCCCAATGCGGGACTCGATCCCGGGACTCCAGGATCACGACCTGAGCCGAAGGCAGTCGCTTAACCGACTGAGCCACCCAGGCGCCCTGGATTTTGTATTCTGTAACTGTTTTGTTTGTAGCGCTCAAAACAACTTCATGGAACGGAGGAGATACTCTGTAAGCTCAATAAGCTCTTTTAATCTGTCAAATGCTCACTGATCCTTTCTGAAATACAGCCCCGGAAATAAATGTCTGGAGCCTAAACGGGCAGGATTTCGTTGCACCTGGCCCTGCTGGGGGTTTCTGTTTATATCGCCTTCAGAACCTAAGAACCAGGACTCATGTGTAGGCCTGGTTTAGGTTTGAAATCACACGTGTCTGGAGTTAGTAGCACTAGTCACATTTCACCATTTTTACGTTTTATCTGAACTAAACACCGAGAAGGGTATAAGATTAACTTCTGACTTTAAGAGCAACCCCAGAATTGAAGAAGCTCCTTCATTTCTGTCGTTTTCATTCCTGCCGCCTCTGCTTTCTGAAGTTGTCTTCGTTGTGCTAAAAGCAGAACTCTGGTCAGGGCTCAGGGAGGAAAATTTAGAAAATGGATGAATTGTTTTTCTTGACTTTTATTCCCAAAGCTTGGTAAGCTGACCCTTTTGTTGAATATGTAAGATTTTACTTAGGTCAGGAACATGGTTATCTGTTTTGTTACTTCATATAAATGATCTGTTAGGACTTCTGAATTTTTTATCAAATAGAACTTCACTTAAAAAAATAATAATAAATAGAACTTCATTTGCTGAGTGTCAGGTGAGAGGACTACCGACATTAATGAAGTTTGCTTTGGGAACTGAAATGTAAAAAACAAACTTATGAATATGGTAAATACGTTTTTACTGTCATATAAATGAACTCTTGGTTTTACATGCTAAGCGTAGGCCAATAGAGGGTTATAAAATTACCAAATAAATTCATAATTATTGACCAAGGTTAATATGCTGACAAAAGTGTATTTTTTCATTCTTTTCTAATGGTACAAATTTGGTTGTTGAGTTTTACATTTACTAGGTCGCTACAACCTTTTACTTTACTGGACGTGGCAGCACAGATCAAACTTCTTACTTGAAATTCAGTGCTAAAGGCTAGAGTTTGATGTTGTTCAGGAAGGACTTAGAGTCCTTACATCTTACCTGGTTCTAGAGTTCTCTAGAAAATGTCATTGCTTTTATAAGAAGGAAAAATATGGATATCTTCTGAAAATTTCTGGGTCTAGCACTACGGATATAGGAGAGTTCCTGGACAAGTGGGACCGGCTGTATGAGCAGACGTCTGCACATTAGAGTTCCAAAAGTGCGTGCGGATTTCTAACATCATGCGACTTGATCAACTGTGTCTACAAAAGGAATGATCAAATAATCATGTTAAAATCTAAAAATTCATAAAGTATCTATAGCAGAACATTAGAAAATGGTTTCTCCTAACATTCCTTTTTGTGTTTAAAAATCAAATAACATTCAGGGGAAAAACATCTTAGAAATAAATGCAGTAGGAACAGTTACAATACACAATGGCTACTCAGTGGCACTTCTCATCAAGGTGGGTGCGCGCGTGTTTTCTTTTTTTTTTTAAAGATTCTATCCACTTATTCATGAGAGACAGAGAGAGAGGCAGAGGGAGAGAGAGGCCGAGGGAGAAGCAGGCTCCCAAGGAGCAGGGAGCCTGACGCGGGACTCGATCCCAGGACCCTGAGATCATGACCTGAGCCGAAGGCAGACGCTTAACCATCTGAGCCACCCAGGCGCCCGCGTGTTTTCTCTTTATTACGAGGCTAAAAAAATCATTGTTCATGCATTCACGTAGCTTTGTTTTGTCGTCCACGTAGACGTTATTACAGATCATTACAGGCATTTGAAGCCATTTGTCTTTAAAACACTACCCAAGGTGGCTGGGTGAGGGACACTGGGGAGGGCACGTGCTACGGTGAGCGCTGTGAACTGTGTAAGACTGATGAGTCACAGACCTGTACCCCTGAAGCAGATAATGCAGCATATGTTAATAATAAATGGGGGGAAAAAACCAAACACTACCCAAAGATAGCAGTTCAGGAGAGATTCTGCCCCTCTGTATTTTAACGCCCGGGAAGCTATTTAGTCCTACTTGTGCCTTTCAGATCGTTTTGATGATAACCATATTAAGAAAAACTATACAGCTTAAAAATAATACTTAAGAGGATAACAAAATCTGAATTAGAGCCAGCTGACTTTGTTTATAGGCTATTTTAGCTTTAATGGGAAAATACGGGAGACACATGTTTGTGAATTATGTAAATATCAAGATAACGTTTTTTCCATTACAAGCAAGAGTTTTATAGAAATATCTGAAGCTGGTTTTAAAATGTATTTAGTTACTTTTGAATTCAAACTCTAAACTGCATACCCAATATGTAAGAGTTTCTTTATAACTGTGATACTTCCTCCCCCCCCCCCCCCCGCCCCACCTTCCTTTTAGCTTTTATTCTGAATCACAACCCTTAGGCTCAACTAGTTTTCTGTCTAGTAGTTTTTCTAGAAATGAGTCAAGAGGACATAATGTTGCTCACAAAGAGCGAAACCGAATTCTTGGGACTTATAATTTAATGCTATCTGTGTGTAGCTCTTGAGCACTGAGTACCTTCTGAAATATATTTGTGAGAGCAAGACAGTGGGTGGTTAAAGGAATTCCCACACTTTGCTTTTTAAGAGACACGAAAGGTAATATATCTGCCTCAGATTAATTGGGGGAAAGTACATTCATATTTGAGGATTTCTAAAATGTTTAATTTGCCTCTTAAAATTAGATCCCTCTGTTTTCAGTTAATACTGAGACCAGGAGAGGACAGGTAGGTAAGTATACATAAATACAAGATGACTTTTCTTTGGATTGGCATTTATTTTTAAATGGTATTGGCTGAATAAAGTAAGTAGCTATTTTAAATAAATTCTGAATGGAAGCAGCAGGAGGCATGACATTTTTGAGATCCTTTTATTTTTTTTAAAGGATTGTTTTAAAATTTTAAACTATAAAACTGATCCCATACATTCTGCCATAAATAAAAACAAACAATAAGGCAGACTCTACATAAGCAAACTGAGAACTGTTTTCAGAAAATGTGGTAAAATGCTTTACAATCATAAGCCATCCAGTTTTTAAAATAAAACTGTTGAAAACTCACAAATCTTCAAGCGGCACATACAAGACCCCCTTGAAGAGGGAACAAAATGTGGTTCTGCCATTTTGTGCTGTTCTCACATTTTTGAAAACCTAGTTTTGCTTAGAGCACAGGTCTGTTCCATGTTCTAAAATTCACACAGGTTGGTTGGTGGTTTTTCTTCCCAAGAACCATATGATAGAGGCACCAATGACATACGACTTTGTTTCCAAGAACCTTGTAACAAAGCATTGTCTCTTTTAAACATACGACTTAAGAGGCAAGAACGGAATCCTGGAGTTTTCTTGCAGAGCCCGGCTGGGGCCCGCTTCACCGAATTCGCTTCTGCTGCCGCGCTCGGTAGATGTCATGAACAGGGGGGACGACAGCTCCCTTTTCTTCATCGTCATCGGAATCCTCGTTGGGCCTCTTGACCGCCTTGGTGAGTACGGCGTTGCTCTCCACCGGGCCGTTCCCCTCGACGGCCAGCTCCGGGGCGCCGCCCGTGATGATCCGAACAGCTTCCTCAACAGCTGCGCAAACCACCCGGAAAGGAAGGACTGTTGGGGGGTGGGGAGGCCTGGGCGGGGGATGCTGCAGAGTCCGCCCCGGGGAGAGAGACTGCACGCGCTACTTGGGACACTTCATGGTTGCCTGCAGAGCCTACTATTGGCAGAGCAAGGGAGGGCACGAGTGATACTACATAAATAATTAAAGGAAAAGACCAAAGTGGCTCTTAAAATGACTTTCAGAAGCCCAGTGTCCTAGTTCGTGTTCCCACGACAGAAAAGATCTGCTTTTGTGATGTTTTACTCAGTGGCATTAGAATGTGAACGAGCCTCTCTGTACCGAAGAGGGTTTGACTGCTCTGAGGTTTCACTGTACTGCAAGATGGCTAGCTGGAGTTGGGAACTTCAGTGCCAAAGAATAACAATCGCCTGCCTAGGAGACCATGTGAATTTGGCCCTAAAGCGGGGCTTTCGTCACTTACTATTTGGTATCTTGCATCTTCGGAAAATTTCCATCAGTTCATCCACTTGTACAAAAGGACCCTATTTTGACACAAATAAATTTTAATCTCCAACAATCTGACAAGATAAAATCGCACTACTTTACATTTTCCGTGAGAGGCGAAAAAGCACATGATTATTATAACCCACAGAGCAAGTATTATCAAGAAAATAAGAGTAAACAAACCTGGAAGCAGATGGGAGGAGGGAGAAGTTTCATTAGAACGACGGCTGCAGGCGGCACTGGGAACACGCCCCCGGGAACAGGGTGTAAGCCGGGTGCTGTGACACAAGGGGAAGGGGGGATCAGACAGGATGGAAGAATTTCTAGACAGAGCTAAAATAAATCAGAAGTAATTTATATAGAGGGTTCTAAGTATTGCTTTGTTCTGGACATTTCAAATTGCTTTTACTGCTATACGTGTTCGGGCAACTACAGTGGAGGAGACAGGGCCGTCTCACCCCCATGGCCGCTGGGAGGCAGAAGAGTAAACCCAGTGGCAGAACTTCAGTTTTTGTCAAAGACCATTTCTAAGCCTCATAAATCATGTGTTCAGCAATCCTTTTTAAAGTCAGTTACTCAACGGCATGTTTAATCATAAGGGCCTTGTTCAAATAGGATCTAGAAGGGCCGCTACCCATTAGTAAGTGTAAATAACACCAAACAGCGTCACCGAAGTGAGTGTGCAGTTGTGCAGGTAATTTGTATGGAGCAGCATTTCTGCCCACACAGGTTACTAGAATCTGGATCGTTGAGGGTATTTTCGTTTTTAAAGACATTCTTAACTCCTCTTGCTTCAAAGATTACAGCCAAGTCACTTGTCATAGTGACCCTGAGTCTAATAATTAACCTGCAAGGGAAAGGTCACATCACTCCCCCCCACCTCTGGATTTAAATCAACAAACAGAGGTCTCAGTACTGGATCTAAAGTCATGGCTTACGTGCTAAATGTCGTGGCTGAAATGGAATCATCTGCTGAGTGTCTGGTTTGGGGTACTCTGGTTTTCTATCCACTTCATCTTTCAGAACAGGCACTATGGAAGGAGCTACAACTGGGTCTGGAATTATAGCTGCTAGCTTAGCACGGGAGACATCCTGAAAATGCAGAACACAAGAATCCTAAACCTGAAAAAGGGACTTGAAGTATCATTGTGCAATTCTACAATCTTGAGGATACACTGAATACCTGGGTTAAAACCACAGAGAACTGAGAGGGACAAGTTAGAATGTGACGGTAAAGACTATTAAACACTCAACAAGGAAAGCTACAAGGCTTTAGAGATGTGGTGTTTGATAACCTTGCCCTAACCCTGGTCAGGAATTGTTTGACTCAGTGCTGCTGGGTAGGACATTTGCAAGCTTTTTTGAGTAAACACCTGACTGGGCACCAGGAAGAGAGTGGGGCAATTTGTGAGAAAAATCTACAATTTTAGATATTTTTCTGACCCTTCCCTTCCACTAGAATTGAACAATATCAATTTAAGTGAAGCCCTACTTCATGAAAGCTAAAATAATCACTTAAACTAATTAATACAATTTTGTTAATGAAATAAAAAATTATTCCTAACATAGTTACAGGGAAGAAGGGACCGATATTGAGCAGCCACCCTTTGTCCAGTTTTCACCATTTATTCCCTCTTTGATGAGGCAAATAGTAACCTCTCCATTTTATAGAAGGAACTGAAGCTCAAAGAGGTTCTAATATTTCCAAGGTCTTAGAGCTAAGAAGTAGAGAAAGGACTGGGAGCACTGGCCTCTGACCACAAACCCACCCACCATCCTCTTTTTAGTTTATCAGCAGTGCCCCACCAGGGCTGAGAACAGTTCTCCAAGACCGGTTAAAAGGGACAGTATGGCCACCTAGCAGCGGGGCCCCGCCCCAGAGAAGTTCCTCTGCTGCAGGCGCTGCTGTCAGCCTGCCTGCCCGGAACCAAAAGAGCCCCTTTCGCCATCATGGACGCAGAAGAACATTTCACTTTCTCAACACTTGCTCATATGCACAGTTGGTGGCAGATCTCGGTGAGCAGGCCCATTGGGAACGGCTTTTTTCTCTTCCCCTCCCACATTATGTACACATGGGAGTATATTTAATCCTTCTCTCCCAAAATGAAAGAGTTGAAATAGAAATAGAAGATGGAGAATTCATATTGAAGAAGTAGTTCAACTTGGAAATAGTAAGAGCTCTATTTTCATTAATTTCCGTTTTCACCTTGACGAAGTTGAAATAGTCCTTGCTAACTTCACATAGTGGTCTTAAAGGTCTTTTGCTTTTCCTTGAGAAGTTAAACTAGGAGCTGACCTTCCTGACCCCTGAGCAGTCACCCCTAGTTACAGAATAGGAAGATGGGACTGGCACGGAACTGGGGCTTCCATCAGTGAAAAGGTCTGAAGGTCAATTATGGGTCATTTTCCCCAAACATGTAAATCTGGTTCACACACCAGACCAGCAAGACACAGGCCCAAAGAGGCTGCTGAAGAGAATGATGGTCAAGAGCATCCTAATGCTGGTTGGCTTAAAGGGACCCAATCTAGGATCTTGTGGGTATCGCTTCCCTTTGGATTTCTATCTTGGTCTTTGTTTTCATGACACAGGAAAAAAAAAATCAAGAAATGACAGAACAATGTTTTTCTCAGCAAGGGCTATTTCTGGAGCTGCATGAACATTAACCTTTCCCCCGGGCCTAAACAGGTTGAGGGGCCAGATTTCTTAGGACTCAGTTGTCTATATAGAGGAGTTCAATTCCCAGATAAGCTCATTTCCTCAAGAGCCCCCTGAAGTACTGTGTTAAGATACAAATCCCTTCAGGAACTTTATGGACTTCTTAACAAGCTGTGAGGTTTCTTCATTATACCTACAGGAGCTACATTTGGTTTAGGATCTGTCAAAACACGTTCATGAGTTTTAAGAACTATTAGAAAAAACAGCACCTAAAATGACATTTTTTCTTCCTTCCACAATACCTTCATGTGCCCACCAGACAAGATACAGGGCACTGGCAATTACAGGGGAAGGCTGAAAGTGTTAAATCTCACTCTCGCATTTTGTTCAGTACTTTTGATACTCAGTGTTTCATAAACCCAAGGAAAATCCCTGAACTTTTTTCCTGTTTTCTGAAAATCTAAAACTAATTTCTATTTCAGAATTTCCTTTAGAGGGATGTGTTTCCATAAACTATTCTAAAACACGGGAAAAGTAGGGACACTACACACCTCTTGATCCTAAGTACATACCTTATAACCAAGCGCTTTTAGTTCACTCGCCGAGCAAGGATATAAGTCCATGAACTTATATCTGTCCACCAGTAAAGCTGTTTCTTTGCCTTCATACTCTTCTTTGAATGCTGTAAACCGTCTTTTCTCCACTTTGAGTATGCTAGCTAGATCACCAATGTTACTTTCGAAAGCTAGAAATCGGGCCCAGATTTCTCTGTAATAAATACAATCAGTATTTAATTATTCTGGGTTTGGAAGAGGGAGTCCATTTACAAAAAAAAAGCCTGAAGTTCCCTCCTCCCTTTTTTTAGTTAGAAAAAGCTCTTTTTTTAATTAAGATTTCCAAACTACAGGACAGTATAACAAATACCTGTGGGTCATCATCATCACCTAGATTTAATCATTGTTAATATTTTGCCATATTTGCTTCATCTTGCTTTTGCTTAAGTATTTGAAAGTAAGTTATAACACTTCACCCTGCACTCCTGTGTATTTAAGCCTCTTTTTGAGATTTTATTTATTCAGCGCACCTTCCTATCCCCTTGTGGTCAGTAAGAGACACAGTTAGGTAAACTCTAGGTGGAAGAGCTGAAAAGGAACATACCCAGACTTCCAATTTCTCCTGAATAATGTGGCTTCACCATTTTGTTTAGTGGCATGAATTATTTTGTGGAATACATTCTTCACTCAATGTATGAATAAAAATATATTCTAAAACCTAACATGATTGCTTTTTTTCCCCTCATTAACATGGATTATTTAGGACATATTTGTGCCTCAGAACTGTTGTAACAGCCAGAATTAATTCTCTGAGACTCTACTTAAATGTCACTAAACACCTTTGTATTAAAGTAACACACAGAATGCCGACTGCATACCAGGAATAGGACTATCACAAAAAGCCTACATTGGCAGATATTACTATTAGTAGATGAGAGAAGGTTTGGGAAGGTTATGAAATGTATCCAGGGTATAATCAGCTGAGCTGGAAATTGAACCCAAGACTCCAAAGCCTTACTATTTCCACTCTACCACGTTCCTTTGTTTGATAAAACTGACAGAGCCAAAAGCATAAACCAGGGATGTAATATATCAAACAAACTTTGAATATGTAAGAGTTTTTGCCCTTGAGTAAGGTAAAATTTTCAGAACTTGTATTTGTTCGTATCAATTTCTAGGGCATGGTAAACTAGGAAGATATATTAAAATATTTAATAATAAATGCCTAACATCTCTCAAAACAATTCTCAGTATACAAACATTTTTTTAAAAAATCTTAAACAGGCAGGTATTTGTAAATTAAGCTTCAAGAGAGAAGGGAAATTTCTTCTGAAACTTCTTTTTTTTTTTTCCTAAAGATTTTATTTATTTATTTGAGACAGAGAGAATGAGAGAGACAGAGAGCACATGAGAGGGGGGAGGGTCAGAGGGAGAAGCAGGCTCCCCGCCGAGCAGGGAGCCCGATGTGGGACTCGATCCCGGGACTCCAGGATCATGACCTGAGCCGAAGGCAGTCGCTTAACCAACTGAGCCACCCAGGCGCCCTCTCCTGAAACTTCTAAACAAACGTTCATCCACAGATCACAATTCAAGTGTTAAAGCTGCCATCGGAACCCAACCAACAAGTTTTCCCAATAGCTTACCCAGACTTCTCAGGAGGAAGGCTTCCAGAGGTTAAGACTCGTTCAAACAAAACTCGGGTATTATTGTCCTCTAGGATATATAAAAAGATTTTAAATATTGAAAAATTATATTTTACAATCAACTGTATTTACATATGTATCATCTCGTTTAATTCTCACAAAAATCCTCTGCAAGAAGGTAACTGTTTCCCCAATTTTTATAGATGAGTTAACCTGGGGTTCAAAACAATTGAGTTGGGGACGCTGTGTGGCTCAGTCCATTAAGTGTCTGCCTTCGGCTCAGGTCATGATCCCAGGGTCCTGGGATTGAGCCCCGCATGGGGCTCCCTGCTCCGCAGGGAGTCTGCTTCTCCCTCTCCCTCTGCTGCTCCCCCTGCTTGTGCTCTTTCGATCTCTCTGACAAATAAATAAAATCTTAAATAACCCAAAACAACAACAACAACAAAACCAGACAAAAAATGATTGAGTTGATCTGGCTCACTGTTACTGAGTAACAGCTGGAACTAGAAGCCAGGTTTTTTTACCTGTAGTTCAGCCCTCCTCCTACATATACTGCATTTATGTCAAGGCCATTTATAACTGATATCTGAGCGAGGTATCCACTGGCCTTTTTGATCTTTTTTTTTTAAGGTTTTATTTATTTATTTGAGAGAGAAAGAGAGCATGAGCGGGGTGAGGGGCAGAGGGAGAAGCAGACTCCCACTGAGCAGGGAGCCCAATGCGGGGCTCGATCCTAGGACCCCGGGATCATGGCCTGAGCCGAAGGCAGTCTCTTAACCGACTGAGCCACCCAGGCGCCCCCCACTGGCCTTTAAAATATAATAAAAATTATATATCTGCTTACATTGTGTCACAATTGATATTTTTTAAATACCTGGAATGTGATGGATGGCAAGCTCAAATATATATATAGGCGATTTTCTTAACCAACTGAGCCACCCAGGCGCCCATATAGGCGATTTTCTTATTTTGCAGCACCAGGACTACTCTCTAACTACTTTAAATTCTTGTATAGGTACAATTAAAATTTAAGTCTTGGGAGTTCCCCTGTAGCTGGAAGTGGGAAAATAACACTTCTTCCTAAGGGATCTATTAAAATTTAAGAATCCTGCAATACATTTACTAACAATCATTGAACTGTATATTTTAAATGGGGGCATTTATGGTATATGAACTATACCTCAATAAAGTTTTTTAAAAATCCAGCAGAGTGTTGGTTTTTATTGCCTCAGGGTAGTTATTCAGTGTTTACTACATGTCCATACACAAAGTAAAACCAAGAGATTAAATGTGTTGAACCTAAGAAGATGGCACCATATTCATGGCTTTCATCTTAAACTTAAGATACTGTACTTCAAAAAATAAGTAAATCTTGTATTTTATTCTTTTTGTTTTAACCCAGGCCTTGCTGCGTACACACTTTCTACCATTCCACATAACTTTCCCACTGCTTTACATGCCATCTTCTCTACCTGGAATAATGCATTTTCCTCTATCTTTTCCTGGCTAACTACCGTTCATCCTTCAAGACCCATCTCATGTTGCCTCTAGAACAGCACTGTCCAACAGACATATAATGCAAGCTACATATATAATTTAAATTTTCCGCTAGCCACATTTAAAAGAGTAAAAACAGGTGAAATTAATTTTAATATATTTTATTTAACTCAAGATATCTAAATTATTTTGGCATGTAATTAATATGAAAAATTAATATGAAAATTAGGGTATTTTACTTTTTTTTTAAATTTTTTTTATTTTTTGTACTGACTCTTTGAAATCTGGTATGTAGTTTACACTTACACCACATCTCATTTTGGCCTAGCCCCATTTCAGAGCCGAAGGCAGCTGCTTAACCAACTGAGCCACCCAGGCGCCCCAAGAATGCTGTATTTTTAAAAAATATCATTCAAATCATTGATATATAGCTGTGATATCTAACTCATTTACATGGCACATAATTGTACATTTCTTTTTTAAAAAATTTTTTTATTGTTATGTTAATCCCCATACATTACATCATTAGTTTTAGATGTAGTGTTCCATGATTCATTGTTTGTGCATAACACCCAGTGCTCCATGCAGAACGTGCCCTCCTCAATACCCACCACCAGGCTAACCCATCCTCCCACCCCCCTCCCCTCTAGAACCCTCAGTTTGTTTTTCAGAGTCTATCGTCTCTCATGGTTCGTCTACCCCTCCGATTTCCCCTGTACATTTCTTTCTTTCTTTTTTTTTTTAAAGATTTTATTTATTTATTTGAGAGACAGAGAGCACGAGAGGGAAGAGGGCAGAGGGAGAAGCAGACCCCCTGCTGAGCAGGGAGCCCGATGTGGGACTCGATCCCGGGACTCCAGGATCATGACCTGAGTTGAAGGCAGTAGCTTAACCAACTGAGCCACCCAGGCGCCCCTGTACATTTCTTTCTTAAACCAACTTTTATACCAGATCATTTCTAGTCAAGAAATTACATGTACTGGACTGTGGGTAACTAGACTAAATGAGACATATATATATATATATATATACATTATATAAATCCCCCAGCTCTGTGCCCAGTGTAAGGTCAGATCTTAGTAAAGGATGGCCATTATTATTACAACAGGATAGAGAAATAAAGATGGTAATAAACAGACCGTTTCTTTTGGAAATCTCTTCCCCAGCAGCCTCCAAGCATTTCACTTTACTACTTGGGCATCTTTGAATTTTGGTGGCTAGATATCTGTTGTCTGTTCCTCCACCCCCCACCCAGGAAACGAGATGATTTGCGCAGAGTCGTCAGAGATGAGCATGAACAACTCTTTTTCCCAAGTCTGAATTTGTGGCTTTATCCTACTTGTGATGGAACTTCACTGATGAGGCATTAAAGACCATCCTGCAGAGTCAAAAGCATCTACTATTACTCAAATACAAATTCATGGTTGTTAGGCCACAAATATTTCTTGAGTGCCTATTAAGTGCCTGGTTCCAGTGTGACAACAGAATTAGAATACATCTGAGAAAGAAAGAAACCCAGCAACATATTTTCAGAGAATGATACTGATGGTTTAGTATTAATTTAGTATTAACATAACCATTATAGATCTATAATTGACTTACCATTGAGGTGAGAAAGATAGTCAATATAGGCCAAGACATATTCTGGAATGTCTCCATATTTCTTTAGACCCAGCTCAAAAATCTTAAAGGCAACAGATTTGTCCTAGAAGTAGAGAGGAATGTACTGATTTCTATGAAATGTCAGACAAGATACTCAAAACAATACTAAAACTATGACACCTAAGCAAGTTACATTAAGTATTAAAATGGAAATTAAAATCATATTAAGTAAAAACTGCTGAGTTAAAGACCAAGGTGTTTAATAAAGCATAAATTAGCAGGCAGTGGGGATTTGGATGATGCGCCATATAATTTTACACAGATACACTTAGACTTCTTTTATGATACAGAGCAATTAAAACTTAAGGACAGAAACTAGGACTACCTTTCTTTTAATTAATGTATCTCAGATGAAAGAAGCTATTTTACCTTTATATTTTATTTCAGCACTTACCTTACTACAGTAATACTCCATGAGTGCTGCAGTAACATAGACATGGTGGCGGGTTCTGGTATCTTCTCTTGCTTTTTTAAATATCATTCTTCCAGATTTGATACCTTCTGCTCTTCTTGCAAATTTCATATATTGGATATATACCTATGCAAAAAAAAAAAAAAAAAGCATTTCTTCTCTACAGATTAGGTAGAATGTGATTCCTGTAGCATCCAAAACAGTCTCACCTTATTCCTACACTAGTATGTTTCCTGTATAAGAAAACAATCTTGAATACCCAAGATACCAGAAAGTAAGCTTATAGATAGTGCTCTATTTGACTCCACAAGCAAATTTTTTTGGTAGTAAAGATGCATGCAAATTAATTTTTTTAATGCAAATAAATTTTTAAAAATTGATACATAATTCACATACCACAAAATTCACCCTTTAAAGTGTACAATTTAATGGTTTTTAGTATATGCATGAGGATGTACAATCATCACTATCTAATTCCAGAATATACAATTAAGTTTTAAGGAGGGAATAAAAGTAAAACTACTAGAAAACATTCCATTAATAAATGCTAACACCTAGAAACTCAAGATTTAATCTAACACAAGCATATTTAATAATATATGTTTAACTTTACATTTTCTTGGTTTATTGCTTTAAAAGCCCACTAACTCTGTTTTTCCAAAGACCATATAATGTATCTTTTACTGATAAACTATTAATGAGCCATTTTATCCTCAGCATCACAGAGTGTGCAATACATGATAAGCATGTAATATTAGTTCAATAGACAAATGTTTCTGGACTAAGTGTAGAGTCCTGATTTGCCCAGTTTTGATGACGTCAAACTGCTACCCAGTTTTGACGGATGGATGAATGGATGAATGAACTGAGTTCCTTGAGGAAAGGGATTTTCTCTAATTTGTCATTATACTTCTGGAATCTAGCATGGTGCACAGAGAAGTTTGCTAAATGAATTTTAAAATGATGAAGAAATGCAAGCAATCAGAACAGTGGAATCCCAACACAAACCAACAAAAAAGCAGTATAGGTTTGACTTGAAGCAGAGGCTCTAGAGCTGCAGACACTCGCCTGTCCCCTTCCCCCCTGGATGAGAGAGCTTCATTGCAATTTAGTAGAGACTAAGGGCTTTGAAAACCACGATTATGGAGCAGAATTCAGGATAAAGCAAGTGCCCATCCAATTCCTTCCCAGAATATTGGCTTCTCTTGTTTCCATTTATTTAAAAAGAAATATTTATGAGGCAACAATTATGTGGCATAAATGGCTTTAATCCATGATCACGAGGAAGATGTTAAAAGAAACCGGGGCGCCTGGGTGGCCTACTTGTGCTATCTGTCAAATAAATAAATAAATAAATACAAATCTTTAAAAAAAAAAAAAAAGCACCACTGCTTCATACTGCTGCATTTATTTATTTGTTTTTATTTTTTTAAGATTTTATTTATTTATTTGACAGAGAGACAGAGAGAGCACAAGTAGGCAGAGTGGCAGGCAGAGGGAGAGGGAGAAGCAGGCTCTCCGCTGAGCACGGAGCCTGACGCGGGGCTCGATCCCAGGACACTGAGATCATGACTTGAGCTGAAGGCAGACGCTTAACCATCTGAGCCACCCCGGTGCCCCCATACTGTTGTATTTAAAAAAAAAAATTGAGGGGGCGCCTGGCTGGCTCAGTTGGTAAAGCATGCAAATCTTGATCTCAGGGTTGTGAGTTCAAGCCTCACACTGGGTGTGCAGTCTACTTAAAATAAATAAAATAGTAAGAAAAGAAACGAGAACAGATCAGTAATTGACTACGAAGGGGTCACATGAGGGAATTTCTGTGAGGTGATTAAAGTGTTTTGTATCTTAATTGTGATGCTGGTCCCATGACTCAATGTTATTGGTCAAGATTCAAACTATACCAAAACAACCAGTGAATTTTAATTTATGTAAATTAAAAATTTTTGTTAAAGCTGACTACAAAGATGGTAAGGAAACGTAATGTTACTCACCAAGGTGGGGTCAATATCCTCAATTGCCAGAAGTCTGTTATATATACTGTGAACTTTCTCATATTTCATGCGACTCTAAGGTGGTAGAGAAGAAGTGGATATAAATATACATTCATAAACAAGCAGGATTTGAGCTCTGAGGCATCCAGAGGCTGCACCCCACAATGGCACCTGCTTTGAGCATAAATATATAATGAGCTGAGGACTAATAACTGTTCATTTTGTATCATCTCTACTAAAAGCAGTATGCCTGGCAAAGAAGCAGCCAGAAAAAAATTTAGTCCTGCAGTAAAAAAATCCAATTATAAGAAAGTTCTAAATATTGTTACTGACCTCTTCATAATCTGCATATGCAAAATAAAGAAGCATATTCTTCTTTAATAAAGTGCTTATGGCTCTTTCATATATATTAGCAGCTTCATCACTAAATAATTTGGCATTATTCATATCCTAGGAGAAAAAAAAAGTTCAGTCTTTAATAATTTTCATACAGCTGAAAGAGAATGAAATAGACATATATACATATGGACACATATGCATTTCTGGATTCTAAAAAAATTCCAAAGACTTAACATACAGAAGAATCATACAAGTATTCTAAATGGTTCATCATTTTAATAGATTAAAAAACAGCCCCTATATTTTAATTCTGACTAAGGTAGCCACATATAACAGTGTCACTAAGCTTTATATTGACATAAAATTAACATTTCAACACCCATACTTCATTACCAAAATTCAGTATTATTATTTTTATCAAATTATTGCTCTATTAAAACCATGAAAAGGCCAAAGGTGGGGAGAGGAATACTTACCCCCTTTTCCGCAAGCAGTTTACTTGACTGTTCAAGATACTGGGCGGCTTCATACCAAATATCAGGGTGATGGCCCAGTACAAGCAGGCACTGTTCATAAGCAAACATAACTAGGGAAGACATTCACAACATTCAAATAAAATAAATATTATTTATGAAACTATCAGTACAAGCATCACAACAAACTTAGTAGGCTAAAACAGGGCCATCAATAATGAATGATAATTAGAAATAAAAGCTGTAGTGATTTCTGGCACCATTATGCACCCAAGCCCCATCCATCCATCCATCCATCATTTATCAAATTAGTATTTATTTAGCACAAACTATATGCTAGGGAATGTGAGAGTTCCTGACTGTATGAGTGACTAAGACTTCCTATACTTAAGGAGTCTGCCCTGTTTTGGGAAGATATTACAAAGGCAATTATAAAAAGTAATAACTATTATGATGAGGAAAGTACGTGTACTCTTGAACTTGCAGCAGCAGAACTTAGCATAGTTTAGGGACTCAAGAAAGGCTTCCCTAAGGAACTAACATCTAAAGCAAAACCTGAAGAAGTAATAGAATCTGGTCAGATGAGAGAGTAAGTGGAGCTCAGGAAGGAAGAGGGAACATGGTGTAGTCAAAGAAAACTATCTGCAAAAGCTTACAGATAAGAGTGACAAGACTGAGGAATTGTTTCAAGTTCCAAATTCTAGTTCTGACAATAGCAGAGTTGTTTCTATAAGACTAACTCTCCTGAAAATAAAAATCATAAACCAAAAAAAACCCAAAAAACAAAAACCTAAAGGCATGGGAGACTGATCAAAAGAAACCAATGGCCAAGACAGAAACCAAAGAACATTGAGACCTTAAAAAATCAGAACCACACAGGGTAAGATCCATATTTAATACGACTTTTCCCCTCAGGGACACATCCCTTTATGTACAGTTCTGGGATAGCTAGATCTCAAGTCAAATACTGAAGTCTTACTGGCTTGAGGAAAGTAACATGGCATTCTGAGCTATGAGAATAGGTAGAAAATTAAGGGGGAAAATCCCCCCCCAAAGAGAGAGCCATAGAGGATGGCGCCTGAATATCTGAGCATAAATGCCCTCAAATCTTTAGCTGGCCTCTAAAATATACTTACACAGGGAAGAATACAAAGAGCTCAAGTGGAAAGCAAAGCTGGAAGGCTGAAAGAGCTGAATAGGTTTCTCAGCAGTTGCCCATTGTAATGGAGACCAAGTTTAGAATTTGAGTCCCATCAAGTTAGAGAGTCTGGGCAAACACCTTGAACTTCCCATTCTGTTTAAGGAATAAAGACTTTGTCCCAGGACAAAGAGATTTACCGTGAAATTAAAGGCAAAACTAAAACAGATCCATCCTAACAAGGTCCAGGTGATCTGTCAGTAATTTAACCCCCGGCTAAAATAAAATTCAACATTTTTCAGAGGAAGATGACAGAACCCAGTCTTTACAATGTAGCATTTGTACATCTGTATAATGTCCAAAAGAAAAATTTTACTATTTTTTTTCTTTTATTTATTTATTTATTTGACAAAGAGAGAGACAGTGAGAGAGGGAACACAAGCAGGGGGAGTGAGAGAGGGAAAGCAGGCTTCCTGCAGAGCAGGGAGCCCGATGCGGGGCTCGATCCCAGGACCCTGGGATCATGACCTGAGCCAAAGGCAGATGCTTAATGACTGAGCCACCCAGGCGCCCCCAAAAGAAAAATTTTAAATGTCTAGACTCTTGACAAAACAGGAAGATGTGACCCACAGTCAAGAGAAAAAGGAACCGATTCCATAATGGCCCACATGTTGGAAATCAGCATACGAGGACTTTGGAACTACTCTTATAAATATGTTCAAGGATATAAAGAAAAAGATGGTAATAAACACAGAATCTCAACAGAGAAATGGAAACTATAAAAAAGAAACTATAAAAAGATACAATATATTTTTTTAAGTAGACTCCATGTTGGGTGTGGAGCCCAACACGGGGCTTGAACTCATGACCCTGAGATCAAGACCTGGACGCTTAACCAACTGAGCCATCCAGGCCCCCCTCCTTTTTTAAAATAGGCACCACGCCCAGTATGGAGCCCAATGCGGGGTTTGAACTCATGACCCTGAGATCAAGACCTGAGCTGAGATCAAGGTGGACACTTAACCTACTGAGCCACCCATGCACTCCCCAAAATTTCCAGAATGGAAATTTATAGAACCAAAAAGTATAATATCTGGAATTCACTGGATGGGTTTAACAGCAGATTGGATATGTTAAACAAAGGTCAGTGAACATGGATGGAGATAGAGCTATAGAACTTACTGAATCTGAAGAACATAAGAGAAAAAAAGACTGGAGGTAAAAAATAGCCTATGGGATAATATCAAGTGACTGAACATATATGTAACTGGAGTTCCAGGAGGGTTAATCTTATTACCTCTTTTTGTGATAAGCGTCTGATCTTCTGTACGAAGAGGGTTGCTCTTTTCCCACTGTATGTATTTCTTCCACATATCCACCTGCTGGGCTTCTTGGGGAGTATTCTGAGGAGGCACTGAGGGAGCATTGCGGTCCAAACCTTTCATTACTGTCTCATATTCCTAGATAACAAGCATTTAGAATTCGTGGTGAGCCTAGAAACAACTCAGATATATGGAACGGAGTTGATCAGTTTGGAATACTTTGTTCAAAATGCCTATTTTCCCCAAATACCACTTTGTTAATATAATCTAAAAACTATTGAAGAGCAGGGAGAAAGATAACAGAGGATGACTTACCCAAAAACAGGTTCCCAGGCCTGAGTGAACAGAACACCCCTGGGCCCTCTCTGTAAGTGATCTAGGAGGTCACTCTCCAGGACAGAGGAGCTGACAGATCAACATGACTGATGATCTGGTGGCATCATTACTGCCATCTTTGGAGAAACTGTCTTTTAAAATTTCAATAGTTTGTATTACTAGGCTATCTTCCCTACTTCTAACAGTGTCAACGAACGGAAAGGTATGCACATAAGACAAAAATCTGGCCCTGAGAGCTATAAGACCACAAAGTAGTACGATATTCAAGCATGTGTGAGCAGATATGAGGAAAGCATAAGAACTAATTCATCAATCGTAGGTAGAAACTTGTCTCCATGTCCTTCTCAAGTATTTCAAAAAATTTCTTCCAAACATGGTTTATTCTATATTTGTCCTTCAACGTGTGTAAAGAGGCATTTCATTTCAAATATATCTGCTCAGACGATGAAAATGTCATTGGTTAAGATTGCCAATAACTGAAAATGTCAAGAGGAACACCCAACAGGGAAAGCTCTTATATAAACAACATACTCATCAAAAGAAGTGACCTGCTGGAATTCCATACCTTTGCTACACGCCTAGCATTCATGTAATCTCGACTCCGATCTTCAATCATTTTTTTAGCTAAATGAATATTGATACCCTAGGAAAAAACAAAGAGAAATGTATATTATTTTAAAATTAAGTATGTTTTAATAGTATGTTTTAATATTAGCATAATACAGTTAATTTGTGCATTTACTAAGTCATTTTCAATTCTATATTTTAAAAGATTTTGTTAATAAAGTTCAATCACATTACATGCTTCAGGGATCAAGGAGGATCTGCTCATATCTGTTAGGAGCTGGTAGTAAGTCTCCATGTCAGGAATTTCTAAAGATAAGGAATGATTTGGAAAGGTTCTATTATTTCATATAAAATTCTATTAATAAAAAAATGCTATACAGATTCATCAGCATGAATAGCCAGCACTTTGCTTTATTTATTTTATTTTTTTAAGATTTTATTTATTTATTTATTTGACAGAGAGAGACAGCGAGAGAGGGAACACAAGCAGGAGGAATGGGAGAGGGAGAAGCAGGCTTCCCGCAGAGCAGGGAGCCTGATGCGGGGCTCAATCCCAGGACCCTGGGATCACGACCTGAGCCAAAGGCAGATGCTTAATGACTGAGCCACCCAGGAGCCCCACCAGCACTTTGCTTTTAAAGCCCTTTTCTAACTAGGTCTCCGTACTTTTTTTTTTTTTTAAGATTTTATTTATTTGAGAGAGAGCATGTGTGAGGGCGAGAAGCAGAGGGAGAGGGAGAAGTAGACTCCCCGCTGAGCAGGGACCCCCCCCCCCAATATGGGGCTCAGTCCCAGGACCCTGCGATCACGACCTAAGCTGAAGGCAGACGCCCAATGGGCTGAGCCACCCAGGGATCCCGAGAGAACAGTTTCAACACCCTACATAGTTCTTCCCCATCACAATGGATATATGAGAAACTTTCTTTTAACGATACAGCTGCTGTGGCTGTATGTTTACATATATGAGCTGATTAGCTCAGCTGGTTAAAAAATATGCCAGTGAGACAAAGATCTTGGACTGCAGCCCCACTGCAAGCCAATAAATCACAGCACCGTAACTACATGAAAGACTTGTAATGCAACTGATCATACTACTGGAAACAATGCTAATTAAGGTCCCATTTCATAAGAGATGAATGACAATGTGTATGTATATGGTTTAGCACTGAATATAAGTGGTTTTGTAAGAATTTTAATTTCTCCCAGGGTATTCTCTAAAAAATAACTCAGTAATATTAGGAGACTCTCAAAACCTTACAAAAACATTAGGAGTAGTTCTCTGATTACAATCAATATAAAAACAGACCTGTGTAGCAGGCTAGAATCTAGCAGCTACTACAGAGGTTAGAATCCATAAGTCCAAGTACATAAAAATTAAAAACAAACAAAATTAAAAATGGCTTAGTTATAATAATGAACTACTCTAGCCTAATTTACCTCTTCATACTTGTTATAGTCTCTCCAGAGTTGTTCAATGTTGATCATTGGATTAACACAACCTCGTTGATAAACTCTTCGGACAGCTGTTATTCTCTGATTTTCTGCGTAAGATCCAACAGCTTCCCTGGCGTTGGATTAAAAAAATGCCATCAATTATATTATAGCTAAAGCAACTGTTCACATGGGAAAAAAAAACTATAAAAGTAACTTACACGCCTTTTAAGAAATTGATGTAATCCACCCAAATCTAAGAAATAAAATAAAATGTCAGTATCTTTTCTTTATATTTTCAAATTTATTAAGTGTATATATGGAAAAAACTTAACTCTACCTGATAAGACATAATTTCCATTCCAATTTTATCTAGTGCAAAGTCATATGCTTGAGCCATTTTTTCTCTGAAATAAATATGAAAGACATGTTTGCTTATTTTTAAGATTTTATTATTTTTTTAAGATTTTATTTTTAAGCAATCTCTACACTCAACGTGGGGCATGAACTCACAACCCCAAGATCAAAAGTCACATGCTCTACCCACTGAGCCAGCCAGCCACCCTCTTAAAGATTTTATTTTAAAGTAATCTCTATATCCATCGCGGATCTCAAACTTATAACCCCAAGATCAAGAGTCATATGCTCTGCTGACTGAACCAGCCAGGCACCCTGAAAGACATGTTTTTTTAAAAACAAGTATTTGTTATTAAAATATATCTACAGCTAAAACATATGGGGTGCCTGGCTGGCTCAGTTGGTGGAGCATGTGACCCTTGATCTTGGGATGGTGAGTTTAAGACCCACGTTGGATGTAGAGAGCACTTAAAAATAAAACCTTTAAAAAAAAACAATTATTAACTTCTCATCATATGATCAAAACAGCATTTGAACCTTTGAATAAGCAAAAATGTGAAGATATCTTTGCAAGTACATAGAGAAAATAGTTCTTTTGTGTTTAGTTTGTCAAGGTCATTAATTTATATACTTTCTTTTACCTACTGTTTGTGTGCTCATCAAAGATAAAGCCCATGTTTCACTTATCCTTATATCCTTTAAATTGCCTAATCTTACATGTAGCAGATTCGAATGTGGAAATATTTGGTTCTCTGATTAAGGAGTTAAGTTATGTCTGAAGATGTATTAGCTCTGAAGTAAAATTTAAGAAGAAAGAACTTCCTCTTCAATATAAGAGGAAGGAAATGAAGAAAAGGAAATACAGAATTCTAGTTATAGAAATAGCTTGTTTGTTATACACAAGAATAGCTATTTGAGAAGATCCATTATTGAGTTTCTGTGAGGATGGAGAGGTGGGTGTAAGCCATAGCGGGGAGTTACACTCCGAGAGAACTGTCAAAGACGCCTTCGAATATGTAGGCAGCACGCTGCACTGTAAGCTGCCAAGAGTAGTGCTAGGACAAGTAATAGATGCTTTTTATGAAGTTTGACAACTAGCCTACCAACAAAGTGATCTGGTGTTGCAAATGTAATGTTTCAACACAGAAGGGCGTGGGTGATTCAATTCTCCAGAATAACTTTCTTTGAAGCCCTTGTTGTGAGTTTTACTGACTTCTCAGGTAACCCTGAATTTCCAAATTCCTAAGTCTCTTCTCCCCAGAGTTAAGAGAAGGTGTGAGTTTATGTGGGATGGACTGTGTGCCTGGAGATGACTTGTATTCTTAAGATCTTGTTTTAACTTACTTGTAACTTGGCAGTTTACCCTTGGTTTCTCGAACATATGAAAGATAACACTTCCATAAATCAATGTGCAAAACCTTCATAAGGCATCTCTGAAATAGCTATAAGTACAAGAAAATATTATCAGAACCCACAGTTAAATAAATTCCACATGTACATGGGCAAAATGAAATATTAAAAAAAACAAAGTCAGCTCTTTTCATGAATTTATCTTCTTACAGATAAATGGCAAATTTAACAAATCCCTCCTATTTTCAGGTTAGATAATCAAAATCATTCTGATGATTTTGGTCAGTGGAGTATAAATACTTTTTCAAAATTTTTATTATGAACATTTTCAAGCATACAAAAAAAAATGAATAAGTACAGGGAACTCCTATATAATCACTACCTAGATTCAACACTTGTTACCATTTTACTATATTTGCCTATGTTTGTTAAGTCCTAAGTTAAACTTCAGCATAAAATTCAAAATATGTTTATGAGGACTCACCTTTTCAACCTTGTCATAATTTTTAGCTTTTATCTGAAGAGAAACAGAGAAAAATACAGAATTAACATTATTGTTTTTAGAGTATTAAAATACCATGCCAGACTTTTTTGACTAACCTTGCAAATTCATCCCTACACTTTCGAACTAATTCTGCTTTACACATAACAGAATTTTGAGCATGACCTAGATAATTATGCATTATAAATGTGCCTTATGTGAACTGATTCTACACATACAGCTTTTCATACATTTATGTTGAAATTTTATAAATTTCAAATTTTGTAAAATTATAGTCACAAGGTAGATACAGAAATATATAGAAGGCATACTTGAATAAAGCTTTATGTATCTACTGAAGACAAACTTCACTTAAAGCTTTGTTTTCCCAGAATAGCTACTACTAGAACAATCTGAGTATGGTAGCAAAAAGATTTGCTAACTTTGACTACAATTACATTTTAGTCACCCAGTCAACCTACTATATTCTAGGCAGCAACTGTGGCTACCACAGCGAACAAAACATGCATGGTGTCTGCCTGTGTCCTCAGAGGACTTGACATTTTATGGGGAAAAGTTGTGCCAAAATGGGGGAAATAGAGGGTGCTATGGGTACACTTAGGGGGAGCATAAAACTCAGACTTGGGGACTTGCAAAAAATTTCCTGGAAAAAGTGAAGATGTTAAGGATGAGGTGTTAGGCTGGTAAAGAAAGGGAGGAGTTATTCCAAGCAGGAGGAATAACATGTGCGAAGACCAAGGTTAAATGTTATTAGATATCCCTTTCTCTGAGTATCTTCATCAGATGGTAGGTGATTAATTTGGCTCAAGAAATCTTGGCTTGTGGTCCTTTTCTCTCAGTTAGTATATATAAATTTTCTATTTTATAGAAATGCAGATGAGCTTAAGGTGATGCAGATGAGAATTTTGAGCACAGACTTTTTTTTCTTTTGCTGATAACTTGCTCTTTCTCTCTGGAACTTGTAAGATTTCCTCTTGATCTTCAGAGTTCATACATTTTAAGAGGCTATATGTAAGTTTTGCAGCAGCTTTGAGGTAGCTCAGTCAGGCTCTGGAGTCAGACCTCTTGGGTTTACATGGACTATCCACTTAACCTCTTTTTTCCTTATCTGAATAATGGGGATGATAGTACCTATTTTCTAAGGCTGTTAATAAGGACTCAGCGAGTTAATGTGAAGCCACTAGAACACTGCCTGGCAAAGTGAAGAGAGTAATTGCCATTTATTATTCCATTAGCACAAATTCAGCATGCCCTTTGAAGTTACAGATACAGGGATCTTTCAGCTCAAGAATTTTTTTAAGAATTACTGCCTCTCTTCCATCTGTTCTTTTTTTCTTTTCTTTTTTTTTTTTTTTTAAAGATTTTATTTATTTATTTGACAGAGAGAGACAGCGAGAGAGGGAACACAAGCAGGGGGAGTGGGAGAGGGAGAAGCAGGCTTCCCGCGGAGCAGGGAGCCCGATGCGGGGCTCGATCCCAGCACCCTAGGATCATGACCTGAGCCGAAGGCAGACGCTTAACCGACTGAGCCACCCAGGCGCCCCTGTTCTTTTTTTCCTTTACAACTCGGATTATGCACATTAAATCTCCTTGCTCTATCTTCAAAATCTATTATTTTTACCCTGTCTTTGAATTTTGGTCCAGGTTTAAAACTATTTCTTCCACTAGATTTTCCAGGCCAAAAATTTAGGTCTCCATGTTACCATTCTCTTTCATTTGACTTACTGCTATAGTTAGTTCAAAAATAATGGGTTTTTGTCTTGTTTTTTTTAAAATACTGTACTTTCGATATTGCTGTGGTTCATATTATTTTGTTAAAGTTATTGTCTCTCTCCTCTATTTTGTTAGGGGCCTGTCCCGATAGTTTTAGTTAGCAGTCCTTTCTTGTTGCTGGATCCTTAGAGATGCAGCTGTTTTTTCTGTCTATTCACTGAAGCTCAGTGTTGGCACACCTAGGTAGTTGACCCTTTCTCTACCATCAAACCTATGTAGCAGGTGTAGACAGCAAATAGGCTGGTCATAGTCCTTGGACATAGAACCAGAAAGAAATCTTTGCTCAAGAGTAGGGAGGATTCAGCCTGCTGGTTCTGATCCTTTTTCGTTTCCTGAAGCCACGCTGATGTCAACATTCCTCTAGGGGTAGAAAGGCAGTTGAGGCGTTCCAAGTATTTTTATGGGTCAGTTTCTTACTTTTTGCCTTAAGTTCTCCACCAGCCCTCTTCTTTGAGGCTGCCATAAAACCTGAGGTTTCCTTGCATTCCCCTGCTTGGTCAGTAGAGGTAAATAGCTTGAGTTGAAAGTGGGAGTGAAGTAAGTTCAAGTCACCAGCTTCCCAAATGCAGAGTACAAATTATATACAGTTTTCACAACTGGCCAGCAAAACCAACACTCATAGAGAAAACTGGCTAAGAATATGAATAGGCAATTCCCAGAAGAGAGAATGCAAACGGTTAAAAATAATGTGGCAATACATACGAACTTCCAAAATGGGAAAAACAAAATAATAGATACCACTTTATACCAGTCAGTATGGTAAAAGCTTAAAAAAGGTATTAACAACTACTGAAGTGGTATGAGGAAAGGGAGTTCATACACTGCTCAAGGAAATATGAATTGTTATGACCTTTATGGAAAGCCATTGGCAAAATCTATTCAAATAAAAAAATATGCCTTTTGACCTAGCAATTCTGCTCTCAGATCTACTCCACAGAAACAAAAGCATCAGGATACAAAGGTGTTGTACAAAGTTATTTACTGCTAACTTTGTAGCAGCAAAAACAGTTAACAAAGTAAATGTCCACCAACAAGGAAATGGTTTAATAAATTATGGTACATCCACATCATGGAATATTATATATCCATATAAAATGAATTAAAGCTATATATAAAGGGTAAGTTGGGAGAGTTTCACATGATTTTATTGAATGAAAAAAAGATTAAAATGTGTATAATTCATTTTTATAAAACAATCAAAAATAAATCTTATTTGTACATATCTATGTTTGTAGATGATTTTATGAGCATGAAGAAAATATGATATACACACAAAGTTGATAATACAGTTATAGCAGGCAGAGTTCTAAGGGTAGAAGAATAGAGACAAGAAAAAAGAGACTGTACATACATGATTTCATTTATGCATTTAAGTTAAAAAAATCTATTTTTGTGTAAGAAATAGAAACCAAAAAATCTGGGTTTTTTCCTACATGAATTGGTCCTCTATCTTGGATTCATTATTTATTGCTTCAATTGGTATTACATTCAATACGTGTATAGAGAAAAACTACAGAATTCTCTGGTCTTGAATACCTGGTCACTGATGGTTATTCATTAATTCAACCAATAAATATTCAACAGCCCCTCTCTAGAGGCTATACTGATAGCATTAACATTGCAGCTATCATCTCATTACTTTTTAAACATTCAAATTTTAAAATGTCAACCTGCTTTGGTAAAGCAGTGTGATAAAAATGAAAAGAATTTGATCACCTTGTATCATATACTGAATTTCTCTCAGCATCAGTGTTCCCACTTATAAAACAGGAATGATAAGAACATTTACTATAACAGTTTCCAAGGACTGAAAAGAAAATAAAGCATTTAGACATTCCGGATGTATAAATCATACCAATTAACAAAATTATGAACTAAAGGAGTATAAACTTTTCATTACATAGTCTCTAAACAGAGCTAAATAACCAAAAAAAGCAATGTTATAATTGGCCCCATTTGGGAGAAAAGCAAAAGTTATGCTGCAGATCATATTCAAATTCCATTTTGGTGAAAAATTCCACATTGGTGAATAACCAGCACAAGAACATGTGAACATCCGGCTTTTGGTCACCCTACTGGTCCATTTTTCTTCTTTAAAACGTTATTATCCTAGGTGTTATTGACTAGTACTTATATGAAAACATCTTACTAGAAGTTAAATATTCTTAATATTTAGCAGTTATATAGGCTTGTACAGGAATCTACCTGATAACAAAAACTTGGTTTAAATTTTTTAAATAATGAAAAAAAAAGAAAAAATAAAAAAATAAATTAAAATAATTTAACTTGAACTTAGACATCAGAGATTCCTGGATCTGTCATTAACCAATGGAAAATGCCTCCATTTAATAAGCCCATTATATACATACACATAAATTTTACAAAGCTTATTAGAACTTGCTCATAACTTAATCTATTAAAAGTAATGTTATGGGGGCACCTGGCTGGCTCAGTTGGTAGAGCATGCAACTCTTGATCTTGGGGTCATGAGTTTCAGCCCCACATTGGGGGTGTAGAGTTTACTTAAAAATAAATAATAAAAGTATGTTATGTAATTTTGAAATGAAAATAACAGGGGCTCTTTAAAAAAATTATCTTTCGTCTCCAGCTCTCAAACTTTAATGTGCAATCACCTGAGTAGTGTGAACTTCTGCGGGCGCCTGGGTGGCTCAGTCGGTTAAGTGTCTGCCTTCTACTCAGATCATGATCCTGGGGTCCTGGGATACAGCCCCTCCCTGGGCTCCCTGCCCAGTGGGGAATCTGCTTCTCCCTCTCCCTCTAACCCTCCCCCTGCATGTGCTCTTGATCTCTCAAATGAAAAAAAAAAAAAAAAAAAAAGGAAGTGTGGACTTATACGTTTTTTTAACAGGAATCCCAACTTATCCTAATGCAGATTTTTTTAAAGCAGATGGATTTATACCAAAATATGAATAACTTGTGTTAGTGCGATGGAATGACTGTTTTTTCAAAATTTCTAATGTGGTTATATTATAATTTAAAACATCATTATAAGAAAAAATTAAGGATAATTTTTAATACTGATTCTTCTGTTTTTCATAAGAATTTGTCATACAATTACAATATTACTTTTTTGATAAATCATTTGAAGTTTATCAAGACATGAAAAGTTGCTGTGGAGGGAAAGGAATAAAAATTTTCTTTCTTTTTTTTTTTAAGATTTTGACAGAGAGAGAGAAAGCACAAGCAGGGGAAGTGGCAGGCAGAAGGTGAAGCAGGCTCCC